ATTGAGAGGCTTCTTCCCAGGCACGACTAAACTCTGCCTATAAACATTAAAATAGAATAGTAGTGAATTGGATAAAAACATAAAAAAGGATACAATTGTTTAAGAAATTAACGCAAGAAGAAAAACAAGGAACTTACATCAACATGTGCTGATCTTTGATCCACCCATGTGTTATCCTTTCGTTTGTGTGTTTTGCGGAACAACTCTGATGGGGTAGGGGGTTTTCCATTCAACTTTATCTAAAGTATAGTTAAAAACACAAACTTAGAAGTACAATATCCACCATAATTCACATATACATTATAAGTTTAAAAGTATAACATATAGGGCCAATACATGTATAAAGGAGTATAAAGCAAACTTTACCAAATTTTCTCTATGTTGAGAAGTGCTAATGGAGCCACCAGTATGGAGTGAAATTCCAAGTCCATCACAATCAGAAGTTCGATTTGCTTTTGCAATCAAACTTTTTACTTTGAATTGTTTTGATCCCCAATGTTGGCATAAGATATCTCATACATCTTCTGCAAGCCAATTTGGCTTCTTCATTATCATGCGTGCCTTGTTTAGTGAACTTTTCAATATGTTGGCACCTCGCATTTCAAAGTTTCTTCTAGCCAACCTATGATCAGGTGGGAAAATAGTATATTTTCTCTGTACCCAAACAAAACAAGTAAATGTTATAGGACATTCAATATTTGGAACTTATTTTAAGGTTAAGAATTAATATAAATACATACCATGAACTCACTAAACCACATGTCTCGAATATCTTGAGGTACCTTTTTCCATGATGGCCACGCATCATTGTAATGACTTTTGAAAATATCACCAATGGCGTAGCCGCAACGTATGAAGGCAAAAATCTACAACAAAAATAAACACATAAAGTACAAGTTGTACATAGAATATGAACAAAATATAACATTGTTAAAATTTAAGTGATCTACCCATATCCATCAAGTGTTAAAATGGGTTTCTCACAGGTGCTCTGAACATCTGATACATTGTGATCATCATGAGAAACAAATGTGCCTTGAAAATATACACCTTCATTCCACATGAGAAACAAAAGTGATCTACCCATATCCATCATGTCAACACACCTTCATTCCACAGTATTTTTAACTCTTCTATCAAAGGTTGCAAATATACATCTATTTTTTCCTTTGGATTTTTTGACCCAGGAATAATTAAAGTTAAAAACATATAGGGGGTAGTCATGCACAATTGTGGTGGTAAATTGTAAGGAGTTACAATCACTGGCCAACAAGAATATGGTTTTCCTAATTGACCATATGGGGTGAAACCATCAGCACATAATCCTAATCTTACATTTCTTGGTTCAATTGCAAAATCAGGAAATGTCTTGTCAAAATGTTTCCATGCTTCTCCATCCGATGGATGACACAAATGTCCCTCCTTTCTCACATTTTCACAATGCCACCTCATATGCGGAGCGGAACTCATTGAAGCATATAATCTCTTAAGCCTAGGAATGAGGGGTAAATAATGCATTCTCTTCACAGGGACTTTTTTATATTTACCTTTACCCACTTTTTTTGTCTTATAACGAGGTTTTTGACAAAACTTACATGTAGATAGTTGTTTATCTTCATCCGAGTAGAACAACATACACCCATCAACACAACAATCAATTTTTTCTACCGATAAACCAAGTTTTGAAACCAATTTTAAGGTTCTATAGTAATCTTCTGGGATAAAATTATCTACGGGATGTGTCTCTTTCAAAAGAGCCAATGTTTGATTAAAACATCTTTGGGACATGTTTCCTCTCGATTTAATTGTCAACAATCTAACAACGAACGAGATAATTCAAGTGTGATTAGTACATCCTGGGCACAATGGTTTTTGTGAAGCATGTAATAAATCATAAAACTTCTTTGCTTCGAGTATTTGGAAACTGTTCATTTTCTTCATCCATATGACTCACAAACTCTACACCTAAAGCATCATGAATCATGTTCTCAAAGTCTTCTCTATCAACCTCGTGTGTATTATTAAATGAATTTGGATACATATTATTCACATCACACATATTTGGATCCATTTCTCCATGACATGTCCAATACCAATATTCAGGTATAAATCCCCGACGATAAAGATGGACTTGAACATCTTCAGAATCTAAAAAGTTCTTATTTTTGCATTTACTACATGGACATCTAATTTTTCCATTTGACATGTTTGCATGTTGAAGAGCAAATGATACAAATTCAGTCACACCATTTAAAAATGCATCAAGTATACCCCTTTCGACCAGGTAAAAGTCTGTTATACATCCAATTACGATTTTCACGAACATCCATGTTCTGTCATATGCCAACAAAGGACTTATTTTAATAAATAATATACCAAATATATATATCTTACTTGGGAATATGCGGCTCAGTGAGATAAAAAAACTAAAGGAATCCAACCCAAATTTTATTAAATTAAAGGAAGTTAAACACAGGTCATCTAAAGATTGGTTCAAATCTTGAAACATATACCTTTAAGTATTTTAGTAATTGTCCTATTAGATAAAACCCTCTTACACACTTCACTAAACCAGATTACTTACAAACTCTCAGCCCAACCAATATATCTATTTTCACATTTTCATCGTAATTCCAATCATAAATCAAAGATAACAAAAACTCATCAAGCAAACAGGGAATAGAGCAAACAGGAACAACGACAGATACTAAAGGAGCTATTACTCAAGTTTCCAATTTGTAATCTAGTAAATTTAACGTTGTGGCCTTAATTATATTTAAAGATTCAGTAATACCAACCTGAAGGAGCTATTACTGTAGTTTCCAATTTGTAATCCAGTAAATCAAGATAAGAAATTTGCTTGCGTAGCACCACCCCTGCATCCATCAACACATATAAAAAACATACCATGTAAAATTAGATTGAATAAGGAAATTCAAATAGATTGAATAAACATTACCGTATAGAGGTTGTGTCTGTGATGTCTTATGTTTGGGTTAGAGGTCGTCAAGTTTTGGGATGGGATTTGAGGTCATCGGGTTAGGGTTATAGTATGACGTTTCGTGGGTTTTGGTTGGAACTGAGGTCGCCGGGGTTAGGTTCACCGAGGCTTAGGTTAGGGTTTATTGTCGCCACAGTTGCAGGTCGCTTGGATTCAAGGTGGTTGAGGTTTGGGTTAGGGTTCGAGGTCAGCTGGGTTTGCGTTGGGTTTGACCGCACGACGACTGGAGTTTGGCTTCAGATTAGGGTTCGATGCTGCCGGAGATGGGTTTGGGCCTCAAGTTCGTCGAGTTCGTCGAGGTTAAGGCTGGGGTTGAGTTCGGAATTCGCTTGGGGATGGACAAATGAAGGGTCTAGGTTAAGCTCGAAGATGAAATTTGGGTTACGCGAAGAAGATGAAGAAAATTTGGGGCGCGAAGATGAAATTTTCGTAGTCGGATACTACAGCGCGAAAAAAAATTAAATATAGATTAATTAAAAAAATAAATTAAATAATAAAGTGACTCGAAATAGTAACCGATTTTATGTGACCGAAAATTCGGTTACTATTTCAGTTACTAGACTAAAAAATTATAATTTGGTTACTGATTCGGTCACTGATAGTAACTAAATTTTTCGATCAACGATTTCGGTTACTATTTGACATTTTTCTAGTAGTGAGAGAGAGGAAATAATAGTGAGATAAGAAAAATACTAAAGATAATTAGGAGTGTTTATAATATATTTTGGTTTAATTTTACATTAAAAAAATCACTCTAACTAAATATAAAATTTAAATGTGGTTCAATTTGGTTTTATCTCCATTTTAAAAAAAATATGTTCCCGACCAAAGCAATATTTTACAATTTGGTTTAAGTTATTTATGGGATAATTTTTATTATAAAATTACAAAACATATTATAATAAAATAATTGTTTAATAAAAATATATATTATAAAAACATCATACTTAATTATCTTAGGTTTACTATTAACATTATCTTTCATAATGTTAGTTTTGTTTGATTTGATTGGTTCCTGTTTTTCAAATCGAAAACCGAACCAAAGTGATGAATTTAAAAAAAATTCAATCTAAAAGAATTCGATTTTGATCACTGTCAAAAAAATGAAAGAAAGTAAAGAGAAGAATAAAATATTAAAAAAATAAACACAGAGACATAAAACACATAAATGAAGTAAAAGAAAAAGAAATATAAAAAAATTCTTAATTTTTATTAAAATATCAAATTTCAATATTTAAAATATTTGTAATTCTTAATTACCTAAAGTAATACATGCTATATATGATATTAGTTGTCTTATTTAATTTAAATTAAAATATATTCTCATTTTCATGAGTGAGATTATTTTGATTATAGAGTTCAATACATTAAAAATAAAATGAAAAACTTTGATGGCCTTTTGGAAAATAAAAAAAATAACAATGGTATTAATACATGATAAAAATCTTCTTTTATATTATTTTTTATATTAATATAATTGATGTCAAATGAATAATTTATATATCTTTAATTTCAATATTTTAAAAGTTGTTATATAGAAATAAAAGTATTTGAACCTTAATGTTTAAGGTGATCTATCATTGTTTATTTTAAAAGTCTAACTTATTATGATTTTATGTTTTAAATTTAAAATTTAAGAATATATAAACTTTTATTTATTTTAATTTTTAAATAAAAATATTTTATTTAAAAACAAGAATATTAAGAATAAAAATAAGAACATCACAATTTAAAGTCTTGCATACCTTACCTGTGAGTTGGAAAAGGATGATACATATAAATTATATAGTCGTTACGGGGTTTTGAAGATATACGATGTTGCATGAAGTAATGATGTTTTCCTTACGACATAGATTTCCATATTGTGCCTCCACTCTACTCTACTTATTTATGACTTGCCCTGTCTCTAACACAGGTCTTGGGCCCTCAAAAACACAACACCAGTACCCCCCCACTTTTTTTACCTCATCGCAAATTCTTTTTTATTACCTACTTTACATCATACAATCTCCACGGTTGACACTTTCTCGAATGAATTGCATTCTTTTACATCGCCCAACACATTACCTTTCATTCTTCTCACGTTAGGCTCCATTTGAAAGCAAGTCTCCTTTTCAGACCAGTCACATCTTTCACTTCGCTAATTTTTTGGAAAATATGATGCATAGTCTTGTTATTTTATGCTTTAAAGATGTAACAAATGAATATAACACTCATAATTACATTTGTGAATTCTCACTCTAAATGTTTTAGTTTAAAGGAAATGCTAATAGTAGTCCCTTTGATGGAAAAAGTTGGGAATGAATTATTTTGAAGGATAGGATGTTTAACTGAGTTGAGAAACAGTTGAAGCAGCAGAATAAAGAAAATGTGAAATGATAAAATTAGAAAGTACTGTAATAGTTGCAGCACAAAGGAAACGCACATGATATAAAATGTGGCAATAATTACCTCACCGTTTTGCACACTTTTGATGGAGAACAGTATTTACACTGTTGTGTTGGATTGAGCTGAGCATGGTGGTGTGTGGTAATGTCCGACATGCCTTGCAAAACGCAATTTCATTGATATGGCTCTTGGGCAAGGAGATTATTATTATGATCAGTAGCATCTATCTCATCACATCACTTGATTAACGAATAAATTAAGCATTAACGAATGGGTTAAAGAGGGATTTGCCGACAACCAGTGTAGAACGAACACGTGGTAAAGCGTAACCTGGTTGACTAGATTATATTTTACATTAACAGTAGAGTAGTGTGCATGAAGAGATAAAATGGGGTATTGTTGGAAAGAAGGAAGAAAAAGGCAGGGTGATGATGGGTGTGGTATAATTAGTTGTACGGTCTAATCGAAGGGTGCATGACATCAGGAGTACTTGGTGATTGAGGAGGGTGATGGGGCCATGGGAGAGAGGTTTAATTGCATTGGGTCCTGTGTGAGGTATAAGCCATGTTAGAGTGGGTGTCCCTTTCATCTTCCATTGGTGTGGCCAATAATTGAGAGGAAAGGGTTGAGATGCCATTTGTTTTGTATATGGCCCTGCACTCCCACTGCACACTTATCCTCTCTTTTGACAATGGAAGATATCGTCTTGCACATGTGTGTGTACTCGACCTGAAGATCGTGACATTACCTTGGATTGCCTCTCTCTCCTCTGTCACCATGCTCCATGTTTACCACTTTTCACCCCACTTTTGGAAACGGAACTTAATTAAACCTATCAAACGCATTATTCTCTCTCTCTCTCTCTCTCTCTCTCTCTCTCTCTCTCTCTCTCTCTCTTCACCTCTCATTGTTGCCCTGGAGAAAAGTTTAGAAGTGAGTTTGAAGTTGATTTTGTGGTGAAGTAGAGATATACGTGCACGTATAGATAGGGCAAAGGTAGGGTATTGTTTGAAAAGAAAATTAATGAAATAAAATTGCATGTGTGTGTGTATAAAACTTGGGGAATGGGACCCCAAACCCTTCCACCACCTGCTGCTTAGCTAATTGTGATCGATTTGAGAGAAGGAAAGAGACATTTTCTATACACTCTCTGCAAGAGAAACTTGTAATCGTATTCCCTGCTTTGTTCAATACACTTTCTATGAAAAATACATTCATTTTAATATTACTCTTTCAAAAATCTTTTTTTGAATGTCACTTGCTTCTGTATTGGATTCTTTTATAATTTTTTCCCTTTTTTTTTCTCCCTCCTACTTGTTTAAGTTTCCTTAGCAGCATAATCGTAAACTTCAAATTTCGAAGTTTTAATTTTCTTAGAATAAAATTTCAACTTAATGCTTGTTTGATTTAATTTAATTTTTTAGTTTTTAAAAATAAGTTTGGAGATCAATTTTGATAAAATCATTTTTAAAAATATTTAATAAATCTAGTTAAAAAACCGTTTTAGAAAACCTATATTTACTACCAAATTTCAAAGAGTGAATTATATGAAATATCCACTAACAAATTTATTTACTACCAGACAAAAACATTGGATTGTCTTGGATAGTATAATCTATATTTGATGGAAAATATATTTTGTGTTAGTATAGATATTTTTTGCATTTATATTAATATTTAATATATTATTTCACGTTTTAATTATATATACTAGTAATTATATTGTTTATTAGTATAATGTATATCCTATCCACAATATTTTTTTATGTAATAATTTATTTTTTTACTAGAACATAACCTTATACTACTAAAAGTTTATGTTAGATCATTAGTACATAAATTTTTTTTACTGGTTCGTTTACTATTAGCTATTTCTTTTGTTTTTGACGTTTTTACATTGAAAACAATATATATAATAGCTATAAATATTCTTGTTGTATTACTTAATAGAGTGGCTAATAATTGATTTATTTGTTTGATAAATGTGCAAAATAATTAAAAATTCGATAATAAGTAAATTGAAGGCATAACTGACAAAAAAATGATATTATGTTTTGAAAATAAAATAAAAAATTATAAAAATGCCATAGTTAAAAAAGAATAGTATATTCAACATTCTAAAGGGTTTATTAAAAAGGAAAAAGAAAAACCTCGAAAAAGTAAGTTGGAGAGCTAACAATGTGAGACATATATGATAATAATAAAAGTGATAAGAGAAGCATTGACAACAAATAAAACCGTTATGTTTGAACTTTAAATAAAGAATCATGAGATTGTCTCTCTTAAATTAATACGAAGGACAATTTGTTGAATTGGCGTGGCTGGTATTTTTCTGGGATCCAATCCAAGTTCCCCAATAATATCAAAGATTGATATTTTCCCTTTTTTGCAACAAAGATGGAGGAGGATCATTAATCCTTTGGGAACCTGGAACTTAGTGGCTTTTCTAAAGATATATATTTCCTATTGTTCAAGGAACCCTAATCTTAGACTAATAACATCTCAAGTTCATAACTCGTGAGATCCTTATTGTTAATTTCAATTGAGTTATGTTTACAAATGCTTTCATTCAATGGAATGTTAAATAAGTTATTGTTTTCTTATTTTACAATGTTTTTCCATTTTAGGAGATACAATCATTTAATACATACCAATAGTTATGTTTAAATGTTTGTTTGATCTTATTAACAATATTATGTTAATTATTTATTTTTAATAGCTTGTATATTTTTTTTCTATTTAAGATGCTATTTTTTAGTAGTGTGTTTGGAAAACCTAACTTCTATAACTTTTTCATTACTCATCTTTTGGCTTTAATATTTTTTAAAACTAAATTTTACCCTTTTCTACCCAACATAAGATTTTATTAATTTTTTTCCTCTTCTCCATACTCATAAGATAAATTATATATATAATGGGTGATTTTTTATTTTTCATCTTTTCTACATTAGATTTAATTATGATAGATATATAGTAAGTTTTTTTCTTATTAGTTTTTGGATATTTTTACGTTACACACCATTGATTTTAAATATTATGTAATTGAAAATACTAATTTTATCATTATACTTCAAAATATTGATATTAAAAAATGAAGTATTGATTTTATTATTTTTTAAAATATATTAAACCATTTAGTTCGCAATGATCCTCTTTATATTATGTATTCTATTATTTTTAATAGTATTTTAAAAAACACTAAACCAATTAACCTAATGAAAATTTGACATGTATTTATGCATACAATTTTATTTTATTTTATTTTAAATCAGATTAAAAATAATTTAAGATATACCATAAGACAAATAGCAGAATATCCAATATGAAAAATATAATTAAAATTATTTATTTTAGAACAAAAAAAATATAATTAAGTTTAAAACTAATTAAAAAAAGGAAATTAAAAATAATACAAAATACATTTTTATGATTATATAAAATATCATATAAATATTTCCAATTAAATTATTTTTATTTAATAGTGATTTCAACAAATAAATTTAATAATCACTTATAATAAAATAAGTTAATTTAATAAATTTCAACTTCTAATAACTAGTCTTTCTAATTATTAACTTTTGTATATTTAATTTAATTTTTCAGTTGTTTTTAAGCACTCAATTCGCAGAGAACATCAAATGGGCAAGGGAAGGTATATGTATGATTTGTCTTATTTGACGAATAAAAAAAAATCAAACCATACATCTGTACATAAATATAATCAAACAATAAATAATAGCAATGAAAATGTAACTAATTTAAATTTATAATAATTATTTATATATTATAATATTATTATATAGTATTATTAATAGACATAGATAACATCACATTTTTTAAGTATATTATACGCCCTCATATTAAAAAGAATGATTATGTTTCAATATCGCTACATAATTTTTAAAACTATCATTAAAAATGAAGAATTATGTAGTTTATTCGTACAAAATTTTGATCCACAAATTATAGAATATTTCTTATAATAAGTTAGAAAAAATTATAAACTCGATAACAATACAATAAATATTATTATATACATGAAATAAAATGAAAAATTTTCTTTTAATTATTATTATTATTAAGTAATGGATGATTGAATAAGGTGCACAATAAATATTACCTCTTTAGTTATATATTCACTTGTATAAATGTGTATATAAATATTTAATTTATTTATAAGGGGGCATTAATACAAAGCCAGCTTGGCCTTAATTCAAAGGGGACAAAGGTCATGAAGCATTGCCAATATACCTAAAACCTAAAATCGATAGGACCGGACCACAGGCACACTCGTGCAATAGAATTAGTAACTACACACACTTAACCATTCTCTTAGTAGGCCATGTTCCCTACTTGGCAATTTCTTGCAGAAGCCACAGCTGTGTAATTAACTCAACTTTCCTCTTTCTTAGGGAGAATAACTTCTAACCTTTTACTTTTTCCATTTATAATCAATCCCTTTTATTCCACCCTCTCTGAATTTTTGTTCTTGTTTTGACCAAAAATTATATGCCTAACTAGATAATAAATATCTTTCTTTTCTCTTTTTTTATTACTATATATTGTGTTATGTAACCATGAGGTGTTGGGTTATTAATGTTTCTGATAAACGTCAATTACTAAGTAACAAATGTTTTGACGAATAGATCTAAAACAATATAGACAATAGTTGACTAGGGGAAACAACTCATGTGCATGAATATGATAAGCTCGCCAGAGTACACATTATAGTATAATATATATACATGGAGATGAAGATGAAGATGAGCCTAGTATCTTTTCCCTTTCCCTTTTCCTTTTCATTCTTTAAAATTATGCAGTTTCTTGATTCGTTTATGATTGAATAATATAATATTGCCAAATTTAATAGGACATTGATAGGGTAAAAGGAGGCCATTATATCACAGTGTCATAATCAGACAACCTAAATATTATTATAATATATAAAGGAAAAGACTCCCATATTCTTCTTCGTTTGGAGGTTTCTTTCAAATGCTCATACACATATTTTACGTTCATGCCTACTTTATTCAACTTTTTTTTTTCTTTTGGGGGCAAAGAAACAAGTGATATAGGGTTTATGCCTTTGGGTTTCTGTTTGTAAGTATGCATGCATACATCCATGGAGAATATTGCTTATCTTCATGACACATATATCTCCTTCTCTTTACAAACTTAAAAAGGAGTTTCTTTGAGAAGTTTATGTATATATTCTTTTCAGTTGAGCTTAAAAAATTGGAGAATCTCTATAATTTAAGGAGATAAATGGCTTATATGCCGCCACATAGCACTGACAGCAAAAGGAGAAATATTTAATAGCAACCTTCGGTAACAGCCACCATGGTTTCAGAGATGTAGATCCTCTTTGTTGTGTATGCTGAGGGCTTTTGTTTCACAACAATTTGTTTGTTACTTTATACAATAGAAGTTTCTCGTGTCTTCATAAATTTCATTGCTTTAGAAATATACTTAATTGAGAGTGATATATAATGAAACAAAATTTACATGTCTCACAACATAATTTCTTGAATTTTAACTTTGCTATTATTGTCATCTTTATAATTTAGGAAGTGTTGTGGTTAGAAATTCTCATATTAAAATATTTTTGTAATTATTTTTATAAAAATTATAAGAAATAACATTTTTTTATAAATTTAAATAATTTTTTTATTATAAAAAAATTGTAAATAAATAACTATGTGTATATAACTTATTAGAAGACGGTGAGAATTAGATAGGTTATATAGTAAGTCTTGAATTTGAACTTTAATATTATTGTCATCTTTATCAAAAATAAAATTGTAAATATGTGTAATTTATATAAAAATATTTCATAAATTTGATATTTTTTATTAAAAATTTGATAAAAATTTAATGGTGCAATTCATCAATGTATTTTTTTTAGGTTCTTTAGAGTTGTTTGAATCTAGGTGTGGAAAAAGGCGGGAGGAGATCTGATTTGGAAAGAAAGTTAGAAAATTGAGATTAAAAATAATACAAAAATGTTATCTCATCGTGCGAAAAATTAAAGAAAAAGGTAATAATAGGAGACATAATTGATTATGTTTCATTATGATTATACCTCAATTTTTTTATAAAATATTTTTTTTATGTTTTAATTATTATAACAATAAATAATTTATTAAAATAATAAATAATATTATTTAAAACGAATAAATTAAAATTTTAATTAGTTATATTTAATATTAAAAAATATAAATTAAATATTATATTTATTTACATTTAATATTGTATGTGGCAGAAAATAAAAAATAATTTATATATAAAAAAGATTAAATATATATATATATATATATATATATATATATATATATATGAATGATAGGATTTAGTTATAATTCTAAATGCATAGAAATTAAAACACATGAAAATAATTTTTTATTTTTTTATTTTAAAATTTAATAAATAATTTCTAGAACTAAAAAAATTAATCATTTTATTGGTTTTAATAAAAAAAATAATAATATTACATTTAGATATAGAAAATATTAAAATTATATTTAACTTTTTTATTAATTTTATTAAAATAAAAATTCATAAATAATTATTACATTTTCAAGTATAAAAAATTCTTCTTTTTAAAATTAGATTATGAATTTAAAATATTATATTTATCAAAATCAGATTATGAATATAAAATATTATATTTATCAAAATTGATAAATTTAAAAAATAGAAAATAATTTTAAAATTAATATAATAATTACTTAAATTAAATTTGGCCATATCTAATTTTATTTTTGACTATATCTAATTTTAAAAATAAATATAATTTTTTTAATAATTACACGTTTAATTTTTATTTAATTTATTTATTTCACATTACTCATTATATTCAAAATACTATTATTTAATTATTTTTATTCAATTATATCACTCACTTTAGTTATGTTAGTTATAATTTACTCAAATCCACTGTCTTTCTTTCAATTCAAACAATTTCATAAATCCATTCAAATTACCTCAAATTCACTCTCTCAAATCCAGTCAAAATACAACTTTTGAGATATACTACTATCTACATTTTATAAACCATTGAAAACACTCATTGTTTATTTATTGCTATCTATATGTATATAAACAATACTTTTTGAAACTAATTTTGTAATTATTTTATTTTTCAAAAATTTGCAATCACCTTTCTTTAAACAAAAAAATAATAATTCTTTCTCTCTATATGTAGTAACAATTTCTGGAGTCAATTTTGCATTAATTTTTTTTTACAAAATTGTTTGCAATCATTTTTTTTTAAATATTGTTTTTTAGCTTTTATCCACTATAATTAATTATTTTGGTTCATTCTTAAATTATATTAATAAATAATTAATTATCTTGAATTTTAATTGATGTAATTAATTATATAATTTTTTATAAATTGACATATAATTAATTGTTTATACTTTATAATAAATTTATAATAATTTTTAATTAATATCAAATTAAGTTAAAAGTTAAATTTTTATTTTAAATTTTGTTTCTTTATTTGTAATAATTTTGATTATAAATATTGATTTAATTTTATATTTATATAATGTTAAATAGGAAAATTATCCCCTACAAAATCACATAAATAAGAAGATAGAAAAAGTGAATTGCAAACTTCAAATTCAGTATTTTTCATGTTAACGCAATAGTCTAACGCCTAACGAGTAAAATATACTAAGTGCGTACATTTGAATTTTGAAATCCGTATTTATTTTTAATTTTGTCCATAATATTTTTTTTTCAAATGTATAAAATAAAATATATATTTAATGATGACCTTATCTAATACAAATTAGTTTTAAAATAAAATATAATATAAAAATGGTAAAAATGAAGGTCTAGACAGCTAATGATATGCAATAATAATGCAGAGTTATCCTCCCCCGTTTTATATTGCTGTTCTCTGAGTTGTTTTTTACTTTTAAAGTGTGTGGGATTGCTGATTCTCTTTACCAGTTTACCTGATTAGGATAATGTTCTTTCCCTGTCTGAGTTTTATGTCAAGTTGAAGAGAATATTCTTTCTAGTTTTACGTAGATGGTTTCTTAATTCTGATCTTGTCTGGGTTTTTAAGAAAAGTATTACAAAAGATGCAGAAAGCAACCATAAGAAGGTAATTAAGCTGTAAAGAAAAACATATAACAACATAAAGCTGCACCACAACCCCTAATTTCTGCTTTACCTTTATCAAATTATAAACATGTGTTTTCTGCATTTTTGTATCCACAGCCTCATGTAAATATACAAAACTCCTTGTTCAAAAATTAATATCATGTTTAAAAGAAATATATATATATATATAAATCCTTGATCCTAATCTCATAATTAGTTGTCACTAGGCAGAGACATATGATAGATATATTGAACAGATTTTCTTGCAAGATTTTGTTATTAATACGCAACCATTAATATTCTTCTTAAAAAATAAAAAATGGAAAAACATAAACACAACTGGTGAATATGTAATCAATCATAGAAAAATTCCTAATTTTTCAACCGACAAATTCAGCTACTGGATGGTATCGTATTCATAATCAAGCAAAGAGCGTTTATTTAACGTTGGAATAAGTTTGTGTGTAATTAATTAAAGAAAAAAAAAAGGAACTTTAATTTCATTTGTAGAAAGAACTATTGCACATGTGAAGACCATACATGCCGGTGGAATGGTTGTGGAGTTAATGAAATTTTAATAAAACATTATTATATAAAATTAATATTAAGTGAAATCACTAATGCGCCAAATAGTTGGTTGTCCATAAAAGAAGTTTTCCTTAAAAGTGGTAGGTTAATTATTGAGAAAAAAGATGTTTTGTAAAATGCAGATACAACCCTAAGCTATAAAAAACGGTTAGCACCAGGTAGTACTAATAGCAATATTTTCCAAACTTCTTAGCTTTAACCTATTTATCAATGCGTCTACGTGACCAACAGCACCATATATAACTCATTTTTATTACTTTTTCCCTCTCATTTCTAGAGCAAGAGTCAATATTTTAAATGATTTGAGAATTCCATCTTCCTAAATGGAAGCTATGATCTGAAGAGTAATTTCCGTTGGATTTCAACAGATAAGGGAGAACAAGATGCATTATTTTTGACGAAAAAAAAATGTTCTTTCCACGTAATGATGGAACTTTTCGAAGAAATCATGACTGGGATGAATCGCACATAAAGCTCAAAGAGTAAAGAATAGATAGGTCCTATTTTATTTGATTTTTTCAGACACAAGTTTTGCAGGATTAGCAAAATGGGTATTTCGCATTTCGCTTTTCACAGACATAGACGGGCCGAAACTGTAGCGTGTGACAAGGAAATTTTTCTATCAAGGTTGCTTTCTCTTTCTTCAGGAGACTACGAAACAATTAATTCAGGTTTTTGAATAATGAGGACTCAGGTTAGTAATATAATAATAACTTCTGTGCCAACTTTGTGAGCACAGTAAAATAATTTCTGACATTATTTTTTCTAAGTATCAATTTTTATCTTCAGTTTACGAGCATTTTTTTTTTTCCCCTCAAGGGTGTCCCACCATTTCTGCAAGATACATCAATGCTCAGACCTTCGAAAAGACATGGTATACTCCTACTGTTGCAAGTTTCAACCCCATTTTTTCACCTTACCTTGTTTCAACTCCGAACTATCCACAACAAGAAGTCCTATTTCACATTGTTGAATCTCTATCGGATAGATCAAGCATATAATTGCAATTCGACCCTTTATATACGTTTGAAGTAAAGAAAGAAAGAAAATACGGGGAACCTTGTTGACTATGACCTCTCTCATGGGGCCTCCATCTTATATTAGTTCAACTTCTTTTCTCAGCTGCCAGTTCATTTTCCTTCTTCATATATATCATCTCTCTGGCTGTCACATTCTTTCTATCTCAGCCCCTCCAATAGCTTTGGTTCACTGCTACCCCTGCTGACAGTTCTCATAGGAATAAACAAACTTTGTGTTAACTGAACAGGTTTGAGGTTCTCTCCTCATTGTATTGGTAATTAAGGGAAAAACAAAAACTACAAATGGGAAGACACTCTTGCTGTTACAAGCAGAAGCTTCGGAAGGGTCTTTGGTCTCCTGAGGAGGATGAAAAACTTTTGAGGCATATTACAAAGTATGGTCATGGATGTTGGAGTTCTGTGCCTAAGCAAGCAGGTAATTGATCCAATTATCCAACTCACCCTCTTATAATCTCTTTTAGCATGAAATAAAGAGAAGATTGTTATTCATCTCTCTTTCGATGTATTGGCAGGTTTGCAAAGGTGTGGCAAGAGCTGCAGGCTTAGGTGGATCAACTACCTAAGGCCTGATTTAAAGAGAGGAACATTCTCACAAGAAGAAGAAAACCTTATCATTGAACTTCATGCAGTATTAGGGAACAGGTAATTGTAATTGTAATTCAGTCTCTCTCATGATTCAATTAATGAATTCTCTCTCTTTTTCTTTTCTACTGTGGTTATGGTTAACTTTTTTTCTTTATACTTTTGCTTGACATGCATGTTATCCTGTGCTGTCTCAGGTGGTCTCAAATTGCGGCACAGTTGCCTGGGAGGACTGACAATGAAATAAAGAATCTGTGGAACTCTTGCTTGAAGAAGAAACTGAGACAAAAAGGCATAGACCCTGTCACACATAAACCACTGTCCGAAGTTGAGAATGGAGAGGACACTGGTAAGAGTCAAGGGAAGGCACTAGAAATTTCAAATGAATTGAACCTCCTGAAATCAGAGAGCTCCAAATCAGATTCAGCTTCCTATGAGCAGAGAACATCAATTTCTCCAAAAGCCTATGCACCCGAGATGGATGGTTCGTGCAGCTCCAAGATTTACTGCAGAACTGACAGCAATTTCGTAACCAACAACTGTTACAATTACAACAAAGACTTGTTCCTAGACAGGTTTATGAGTAGTAGCCGCCAAGAGAGCTACACCACTAGTTGCCAGCCCTCAGATTTGATGGGAAATTTTCCAATTCAGATGAGTTATGCAACCAATGACTGTCTCCCTAATGATTCAAACTCTAACCATTGGTTCAGCCAAACTGGAAGACCTTTCGATATGAACTCTGAATTTCCTTTCAATGCTGCCACTTCTGTTAATCCTACACCTACAACCAATTTGTTTCTTCCTAATTCATTTTGCTACAAGCCTTCACTTGCTGTTCCTTCTGACAATGTTTCTACAGCCTATGGATCTCATTACTGGGAAGCCAGTGCCTCCAACAATAGCAATAGCAGCATTAGGAGTAATAGCAGCACAGATTTGAGAAGTAGCAGCCCCTTAAACATCTTTTCTTCTTGGGGATTGGCAGATTGTAGCACCTCTACTACTAAAGACGCACAAATTCATATGATGGAGAATCATACAGAAGAAGCTAAGTGGGACGAGTACCTTCACAACCCAATCTCAATTCTGGCTTCTGTACAAAATCAAGCTCCCGAATCCTTGTGCAACGAGATAAAAACAACCATGCATTTGGTACCTGATACTTTAGGGGCTATGTTGCCTCATAGCACCAAGCAGCAAGAACCGTCTCAAACCTCTAGTATCTTTTCTAAGGACATCCAGAAGCTAAGGGCAGCCTTTGGACACATGTAAAAGGATTGGAGAAAAACAAGATTTTAGAAGGGTTCCAATTCAAGGGATTGCTGTTCCTAGTACAGGTGTGTGAAACCACAGATTTTGCTCTTGTATGTAGGTCTAATACAAAACAATTATTTCACCTTTTTCTTTCACTTTTTTACCATTTGTGAGCCAAACCATTTGTCTTTACTTTTTTCTTCTCGGGTGTGGGGTAGAATTGCAGAATAAAGGTTGCTATTCTGTCTTCATTCTACTCATTTTCTTTCTTTGCTACACTGTAAAATCACTGGTGCACTTTCATGTCCAAGTTCCAGCCATACAGATGTTTTTGTTGGTCCATGCAAAATTACATTTTCATTTTGACGCCAGAGACAGAGTTAATTTACCTCATCTACCCGGTATGATCTAGTTTTCCCACTTTCATACCACTGAAAATGACACCAAACTAGTGTAGCCACCACTTTTACCATTCCAAGGTTCTAATGGTTGTCCATCGTTTTCTAGACACTAGAATAATATAATTATATATATATATATATATATATATACTCACTTCCACAGTAGCCTGAACACTCGACACTTTCCCTCTATGCAAATTTCGGGAGTGGATCCTTTCATGCAACATGACAAGTCCTGTCATGTGTAAATTGTAACATATATTTCTTTTCCTATCAAATTTGGTGGTGAGAGATTTGACACAACTTACACACATCATTTTGTCGTGGGAAATTTCAACATGGTAGAAATTACAATGCCGTTAGTTTTCCTCTTAAGAAATCCGAGGTGAATAATAACACTGCTTTCCACGCGAAGAAAAAGACAGTTAGTTAATTTGAAAAGCAAAAGAGAGATGAATTTAAAAAACAAAAGCGGGAGCGTTTTCCCCTGATAATTATTAGTTTTAGGTGGATGCCTCTGGATATTCTTTGACATTTGAAGACTCCCACAAAGCACTTATAAATTGAAAATCGCTTATTTCCGTGCATTCAGACAAGGACTTGGAAGCTTACAAGAGCACGTTAGCCACACCCCTTGTCTTGTCTTCTACTTCCTTAAGACACTTCCATCTCCAAACATTATCCTAAACTCCTCCATCACCAAATCTTCCCACGCACTCCAATTCTCTCTTTAACTACCTACCAAAACCTCCTTCTAACATTCACACTCCTATCACTCTAAAGTCATTTTTTCTTTATCCTATAATCACAATATCTTGTATGGTTATTTGGATTATTACTTGACAATTAATTGCCTCTTACAATGCGCTTTGATTTGGTATAGTTTCATACCTAAAAACCCGTTCAAATCAAATATAAAATTTAAATATATTTTGGTTTGATTTTATTTTTATTTTTACAAAAATTTGGAACTACACCAAATCAATACTTTACGGTTTAATATATTATAATAAAATAATTATTCAATAAAAAACATATTATTAAAACTTATAATTAATTATAATATTCTTATTTTTAATTTATTTTTATATATTTGTATGTTGAATTTTAAAAATAATAATACATCGCAAATTGTAAAAAATGAATGGGCTCACTCGTTAAAAATATCATCTTACATTTTAATTTTAATAATATATATTATAATTTTAGTTCGATTTAGATTAATTATTAATTGTCAAACTGAAAATAAAACTTATCGATTTTAAAAATTTACAATCTAACAAATTCAAATAAAAATTGATTCGAATCGATTTTAAGTATTTTTTTTTATCAATTCATTTGTTTTTATTTTTTAATTGATTCGGTTTTGAACATCTCTAACTCTTATAATTAACTACAAATTTCTATCTCAACAATTTCAAACTATTTTTTTCTTTGAAGTAATTATATATTTAACTTTTTAATTATCTTTTATCTCTAAATTTAATTATAATATTATTCAATATAAATAATTGATCCTTAAAAGTAATATTATAATATAAATATAATCTTATCTTATAAATCTAAGTTCACAATGTTTGGAATCAGAATATATTATATAATATTGTTGAATGAGAGTTAATTTCACGTCTTATCCTAATCTTATATAATTAAATATTTATTTCAAATGTAGTTTTAATTTTAAATATAAATTAATTATTATAAAATGTTTCTTTTTCAATCATCTCAAACCATCTGCCCTTTAAATTTTTCCATATATTTTATTTTTATTTTTTTATCTTTTTTATAATTATTTCTCAATTAAATATTAATACTTATTTAAAAAATTAATTGAAAGTAACCCTTATCACAAAAATAATTGTTCATCAAATATCTAAAAATATAATTTATTTGATAAAAATTATTATCCCAAATTTTAATTACATTATAAATTTTATATTAAAAACATTATTCATTTATTAAAAAAATTAATTACATTATGAATTTTTGAAAGTTGGACCCATTTTTCTAAACCCTATAATTGACCGGCCCAACGATAGGTAGAGAGCCCTCAATTGACTGGTCTGCTTTGAACGCTCCAACTTTTTAATAATATTTTGAAGAACTTTTTGTCAATTTTGGATCAATTTTTTTCTACATTTTTTTCACACATAAATATGTCTCTTAACTTAAGAGGGTTAATTTTAACTTTTTTCGTCACTCGCCTTTTTTTTTTATATAAAAAAGTAATAGTTATTTACTATTTGCTAATGTTTTAATTAAATTTTATTATTATTTTAAATATCAATTAAATCTATTTCTTTTAAAAGTTTAACCTTTTGTTTTAGTCTTAATCTTTAAAATTTATTAAAAGTAATTTAAACTTAGTTTTAATTAATAGATTGGCAATAGTTACCTGTATTAACAAATTAATTAACCTAGAGTTTATAACAATAATGGGAAGTGATGTGATTAAGAACGCATGCACACAAAAAATATATTTTCGTTTAACATAAAAATAATAAATATTTTACGCAAATGAAAATTTAATACAATAACAAAGTTTATTTTTTGATTTAAATTTTTTTAAAAATAGTATAAAAATTTTCATGTAATTATTATTTCTTTTTCTATCAACTATTTTATTCATCCAAATAAATGGAGTTTTTTTTATTTGTTTCTTTTATATTTTCTATTGTTTTGTATTTTTCATTTCTATTTTTTTATTTAACCTTTCATTTGAACAAAACATAAACATAGGGAATACTAATATACATTAAATTAAACGTGAAAAATCTAAGATATTTATTTTCTAATATGAATTATTTAAAAAGTTTGATCTGATCCTCATTACTTGACTTTTTAATGTGTACTCAAAGTATAGTTTCACGTTTTTTAAATAAGATATTAAAACTTCTATTGAATAGGCAAATGGAAGCTAACAAGTCTAGTTCTTTAAATAGATACATAAATATTTTATCTTAAATATTATTATTAAAATTAAATATATAATAATTTAGAAATATATTAATTTTAAAACGTCTTATTAGTAGGGTTAGAAAAATATTGACCTAACTTATTTGGTATATATGAGTCGAGTAACTTTTAACTTATCTATTAGTAATTATGTTTCTTCTGCGAATGATAAGTTTGATAAAATAATGATTGATATATTGGGTTCAAACCATGATTTAAATTGAAGTAAAATTACTTTTTTACTAATCCAAATCGAAATTTGCTTATATAATCCAAACATAGCAATGCTCTTTGGGAATAAAACAGTATAGAAAATATTAAATGTATATAAACAGGAGGGAAACTGAAAAATGTAAACGATAATTTCAATATATAAAAATTAATTATCATGTAAAAATAAATATATTATATACAACGATAATAATATAGTTAAATTATTAATTAAATTTAAATTTTGAAAACTATAATTTTTTTATTCATTATTTTTTTCTCTTAAAAAACAAATTTATAATTTTTGTAGATATCTTTACTGAATTTTTTTATTTTAATATTTTACTATCAAAATAAAATATCTTAAAATATTAAAATAATTATCTAGTTAATAACAAAATATATATATATATATATATATATATATATATATCAATATTTGATTCTTTTATATTATATTACACCAGTTAAGTTATTATAATAATAAAAAAATTGTTTAATATTCTTTTACTTAAAATAATTATCGTTACCAAGCAAATTGTGTTTATCTATTTGATTCGCTGCGAATAAAAAAAATGAATTGATATATTTTTTTTATACAATGCGATTGACGGACTATAGTGGAAACTATATAGGACGGTGTTAATTGAATTACAATATCAAGAAAAGGATATACGGTATAAATATTTTTATCCATCGTTTTTTTTAAATCATTTTTTTTTATTTTACATTCGAACCATTTTGTTGTAAATGAAAAAAAGTGTATTTTTTTTATTTTTTTCCTAGATTTTCTACTTATTATTAGTAAGATTCTAATTTGTGAATATCTTCTTTATTATTTTAATTTTTTTCTTATATCTTTAATTAGAAAAAAATTAAAGAATAAAAAATTACTATAAAAACATTAAAAACTATAGGAAAAACTTACCAATTAATCCTGAAGGAGAAGAATATAAAAGTAGACGAATATAAAGAAAAATATAAAGCGAAAAATATAAAGACAAAAGAAAGAAAAAAAAATAAAAGGAAAACATTATGTAAGAAAATAAATTATATTTATTATAAATAAAAATTTAGAAAAAAAGATAAAAATTTTAATTTTAATTATATTTATAAAATAAAATTTATTTAATTTTAAATAATAATAATAATAATAATAATTATATATATATATATATATATATATATATATATATATATATATATATGTATAAATATTGTCCGTTGGCCATGAATCGGCCTCTATATATACAGATAAAAAGAAAAGAAAGTATAAATAAGATGAGAATAAAATTTAGATATAATATTTTAGTGTTGTTTGGGTTATTCCTCCGTTAAAATTAAAGTTGTATTTTGATAATATAAAATGAACTTAATATACAAATTACTATATTAAACTTTAATACTAATTAAAGTAAAATCTAAAAACTGATGCAAGTTTTCTGCATAGTATCAGAGTGAGAAATAAAGGATGATGTAGATAGAAAAATGTGTAATGTAATTGATGAGGAAGATGTGAAAATAGGAATAAATACTTGAACCCTTCTACCTTATCTCCAACTCCAGATGAGAAACGTATCATTCACAACAACATACAGCCCCGCTCCTCAATTTCCTTCTTTCTGTCTTCTCATACACACAACACTGTCTCACTCACTCTCAACCAAACCACACTTTTTGTTTTCTGCCAAAAAAAATGCTGATAATAATAATAACAATGATGCTTTGGCATATATAGCATATAGTAGTATACTATGATGATCACACACAATTCACCCTATGGCTTCGTATGACACCATGACCTTTCAGTTTCACTCTTTCTCGCAAGATGAAGACGTTGAAAACAGTGATGGTTATGATCATCATTCCCCCAACTTGTCCAGGCTTTCTGTTTGTACCAGCAGCACCATGTGTTGTGATGTTAATGATGCCATGGCTATGTACATGTCAGGCTTGTCCATCGAAGAGGACGATGGTGATGGTGATGGTGATGTTGAAGTTTCTGACGCCAAAGAGCTCTTGTTATCATCTGACTCTGATGAAGACGAGTTGAGTAGCCGTTATCCTTCGCCACCAACGCCCCCACGTGGCGTGAAGGACTATGCTAGTGGTAATGAGGTTCAAAAAGCAATGGAGAAGGGTCCATGGAGGAAAAGGTGTTGGAGAATGAGAAAGGGCACGAGGGTGTGGGAGAAAAACAGGAGCAATAGTGTGAAGAAAGAGAAGGAACAAATGACGAAGCTGAAGGGGTTGAGCACTAGAGAGGGTGAGGAAAGTGGGTTGAAGGTGATAACAAGGGGAAAAGATGGAAAGTCACTGTGCATGGAGTTGGAGGAAGTGATGGCATGTAGAGATCTTGGCTTTGACATAGAGTTGGAGATACCTTCTCTTTCTCTCGTTTTCTCAAATTCTAAACTTGATAATAACAGTGGTGCTACTTCACCAATCACAAATTGGCGCATTTCTATAGTCCTGGTAAGTTTATTTTCTACATCAGATACATTACACTACGTACAATATTCTACAAGTTACTACAACACTAAGTCTGGTAATCTTCAAACAATATGTGCAATATATTTTGTTGTTTATATTCTTTGTGTGGACTCTAGAAATATTTTACAATCTTTTATGTGGTGATTAATTAATTTATGATTTGTCTGAATAAGTTATACGAACAAACTGATGGATCTCTCTCAGAAGGTTCTTCTTATATATATATATATATATATATATATATATATATATATTTGCCCTTAAGGTGATGATCCTAGAGAAGTAAAGGCTCGGCTCAAGATGTGGGCACAGGCGGTTGCAGCATCTGCATCCAAATACGGCACTTGACATGTTAATTTTCTCCTAACTAAACCCAACCCTTTTCTATGGAGGCTAAAAACAAATGTCTAACTGTGACTATGCTTGGATGGTGAAGATGATGCATTGAGAAGAATGTGATATAAAAAATGATTCATGGATACCTCTCATCTATTTTACATTGACCGAGTTAATAGATAAGAATATAGACATAGTAGATGGGATAAGAAGAGAGCGACCAATGAAGTGTTTGTAGTAGTTAATTTTTTTTTCTAATACATATATATATATATATATATATATATATATATATATATATATATATATATATATATACCTTCAACTTTTTTCTTTTCCCCCAGTTTGTAAGGAAGGATAATGAATATGTTATTTAGTTTTCATGTTTTATTTTACTCCATATCATTTTAGTTCATTACATTTGATCTCGTCTCTTTCTATTTATCCAAACATGGCCCAAAGGTTACATAAATTTCTCTTGCTCAACTTCCCCAACCCTAAGGGCTTGTTGGTTTTTCAAATTTATGTGCCGTTATTTGTGATGGATGGTCACATTTATGTGTATAATAGTGTTTGAAAATGAAGCCATGATGAGAGCAGAGTTCATCAATGTGGTAGAAGTGGTTGGGTGGGTGAGAAATTTGAATGCATATAGTAAAGTCAATTAGTGGTCACTACTGCTACTGTTTTGTGTACTTTATAAATTGACATTTAGATTCTCACCTCATTCTTGGTCCCTCCTTTGAAGTGTACAATAGAAAATTTGAGATTTTTGGTTGAGTATATCATGGAAATTGGGAAGTGGACCTCGTAAAATTAATATTTTCAACAAAGTAAATGTTGCTTCAAATACCTGTAACATTAGAATCATCCAAAATAGTCAAACGATTAGAACAAAAGAAAAAATATAGAAAATTTTCTTATCATTATTCTTTTTTAATTTTATTTGTAATTCTCTCTATTAGAATGCTAATTTAGACTTGTTTGGGCGCACCTTAAATTATCATTCTTTGAATAATGCAATATTGCTTATGAAATAGGTTGCAATGCTTGTGTAACTTCATACGACTTTTATTGAAAAAGATAATTATGATATATTCATTTTCCCAATATGACTCACAAATTGAAGGTGATTAACGAGTAATGTACAAGAGCAACACTCCTTTGTTGAAATAAAAAACAATATACACTCCTTTGTTGAAATCAGGATTCAATTTTTTGTGGTCTTTTTGTATATTCTAACTAAAAGTAGGAAAATGACAACTAATGAATCTTATTCACATAACTTATTATCAGCGAAAACGATGATAAGTAATCATCCTCGGCTAAGAATGTCTTTCCATAATAATTTATGAATGTTGATTGCTGAATACTCATTGCAATTACAAGAATTATAGTGTAATGAGAAGACAACAAATTTTGCTCACTTAAAGTTAAACACCAGATTATGGCAGCTGTTGTCACACGGGTAAGCACAGTCAATGGCTTTGACAACTTCTCGATCAAAATACCAGTCTCCAACAGCAACTGCAATTGGCTGCATTATAAAAGATTATTATTTTCTGAGACCAATAAACAAACATCTGGAAAAGCTGAAGCTTGAGTAGTGAATTATTAATATTTTGTTCAAGTGTTTTGGTGTTGGACTAATCAAATTTGTGTTTGTAGTGAAAAAAAAAAGTTTTTGGAAAGAGCTGAGTCTGAAGTCGGAACAGATATAATTGAACATTAAACCTCTTATAATTTCTTAAAGCTACTATGTTGTCTTAATCTTCATTAGGTTTATCTAGGGCCATCATGGTCCTTGTAAATCTCCTAGACCCAATTAAGTATTATTGATTATTTATCACAAATTGAAAAATCGAGTAAATGTCATTAAGATTAGTTGGGACCAAATATGAGGTGATATCACACTACCTGATAATTTCTCTAACTTAAAACAATGGAAATATAAATTGAGCATATACCTTGTCCTCAATAAGGGGAGAGTCATCAGCAAACCACGTCTCCTGTCTCTCAGACTGACAATGAGCAAAACAAGAATTTATGAATAGTCCAGTTTGAGATGACTTTGAGAAGTCTTTAATGTCACTCAGCATTTGATTTCTGAAGTCTGCTTCAAAGAAGAGATATGACATGTTACAATCAAATCAGATAATTGTAAATGTACCTTAATTGCTATGAATTATTCACGTTAGCAGATATACCATTTATTCAATGAAAATTAGAAATTTTCAAATATGTAAATAAATTCCAGTGCATAATTCACAATAGGAGATTGAAATAACCTTGGAGGAACTGAATTTGAGATGAGCTACAATTTGCATGGTTGGATTTGCATTCATTCCAAGAGCCAAGGCGGTCAGCAGAAGGTGGGGCTAAACTGGCTTGGACCTGAAGAAGACAAAGTTCACATCATAGAAAAAATAGTGGCAATCAGGTTGAAGCTCCTACAACAAATAACTACGGTATCAACATCAATGATCATAGTAATTGTTATTCCTGGTTTGACTTTACCCAGGTTTTTAATAGGAGGATGGTAAAGAGTCCAAGTCCCAGGTTTGAGAAATGTTAAACCCAAAATTGTATATCCAATTGTACAGAAGAAGATAAAAATGACTATGGGAACCATTTGAGGCAAAGGGCAACATCAGACGATAAATTAGTCAAGCTAGAACTTATGGTGTCCATGTCATGGAACATAGAGAACAAATGAAGATATGCGTTCCATGTAATTAGCATATAATCAGGCACATGATTAACATGATACGGGATGAACAATGTATAGTTTCATATTACCTGCCACACATCATAAGCTGTGTTGAGTAGAAACAATGGGGTCTCAATATGTTCGATCACATTCTGAGGAAAGAAGCACTGTGGGAAGAGACAACACATGATTAAAATATGAATTTCTTAAGTAATTCCAAGTTATGAACAGTAGGACACCCAGAATAAGAATTACCGAAGTTGGGTCTAGTTGGCTGAGACAACTTTTTGGAAGATTCTTTTGTACCTCCTACAATTTAAAAACATCACCCACATGACATATTTGTACAGGTTTCGTTAACCTTACGTCAAAAAAGTAAAACCAAGGAAAGAATATACTGCTAAAGTTGCGTTCGGGACAAAATCTCTATGTGTCAAACCCTCTATAACTAAAGCTGTCAACATTTTGGTGCTTCCTAATCCCATCATTGATGATTAAATCATATAAGCATAAGTTAACCACATAAATCTACTAATCCCTTCATTGATTATCAACAAATTAAAAGAATATTTAACTATCTAACTAAATTATATGCTACCTGTAACTGAACCACACCTCCGAACAGATTCCTCAGTGTGCGTCCCCCAGATACATCAGTTCTACATGATTGAATACATCATGAATTATACCCAACCCAATTAGTTTCTAGGCAAGGGAACAGTTTAGAGGATGTAATATAATGGAAAATATAAAACTTACGCATCAAGAAAAAAACCTGCATCACTCAAACATTTCACTTTGGAAGATTCTGGAAACAAGCTCCGGAACTCATCACAATGTATAATGGATGCCAGGCCACCCGCAGAGCATCCAGAGAGAAAAGCCTGATATTTATTTGTTGATTAGCATTCATTCATATGAAAGACAGAAAAACAATATAAAGAGAAATGTGAAACCTGGTTGGCTTTCTGCATTCCTTTTGACATTAATTCTTCCATTGCAGCTAGCCATATTTTTTGTCCTCGAAATTGAAGCTGTGCAGACTGAATAAAGAACCAAAGCCATATTTCAACGCAAATACAAATTCCAAATAAAGGATCTTTTCCTAACAACTAGTTCGTCAGCCCTAAAGGGTATTTATGAAAAATTTGTTAATCAGAAAAGATATAGAAAACATTAACAAAATGCAAACTAGGTTTGTTAGTTTTGCATTTAAAAAAAAATTATAGGATAACGTACTGGAATAATGAAAATTTATGTGCCACTACAGAGAAATTACTTTGCAAAAGGTTCTGCTTGAGGTGCAAAACATGACATACATGACTAGGAGAGTCCTATTTATGACATTCTTAGAGATTGCGAAATGCTAGTGCTACATTAAAATGATAAAATAAAATAAACCGATTAGACAATATGTCAAGTCAGTGACACGACACAAACAGTTATGTTCTCTTTTTGAGTGGGGCATAAGTTTGCGGTTTTATTATGTAGCTGCATTGGTTGGATGCATCTGCAACAACTAAGCTTTCCATGGAAATATGAAGAGTTGTTTAATAGCAATTATACTATATTACGTAAATATAAAATTAAAAAAAAAAAAAAAGGTGGTATGGTTCTCTCACTGACCTCATCTTCACTATCTCCACTGAAAGACGCCCCATCACAATACCGTAACTTAACTCTGTTCCAATTAAAGAAATCTGTCCATGGAGATTACATAAAGAAAATGAAAGAACACGGACTTGAGTATACATAGGTTGCAGCCTCCAGGAGAGGAGAGTTTAATCAAACAACAGGTAAAAAAATGCATGCATGTTTAAGGTAGAGGAGAAACCAGGGTTTTCTTCCGGTTTGTTGCTCAATATTCCCGTGAATGGTATTTGATTTTCCATGTATTTTGAGGAACCACGACGAGTTTTTTTTCTATAGACACAATTTCTGATGGTATTACACCATCCTCCCCCCTGCAGGTATTAAAAAAGCATCACTATGGTTGAATAAAGACTTCAAATATTCATTTTTCTATGCAGTCTACCTTTTAAATAGAGGTCAATAAGTGGCTGGAACGATGGGGAAATTTGAAGAACTCTATTTAAACCTTGAACATTATTTACCTCTAAATGAACAAGCCAACTATCTGCACCAGATCCAAATCCACGATCCAAATGGTAACCAGGCAATGTGCCATCCAAACAGACTGGCATTATAGGAAAAAAAAAAAAAAACTTATTTCCAGATTTCAAATCAAGTAAGAAATTTATGCATGACACAATCTTTAATCTATTCAACTTTGCAATAAATTATGAAAACTCAACCAAATCAGACAAACATACGCACAGTGAAGTCTATCCTTTGAGTACCATGTGATTTAAAAGCATATGGAGTTCCATACAGTAATCAACAAAAACCATATATGCATTGCAGAGGCTAACAGAAATATTTGCGTGGAGCTATAAACAAAGAATTTGAGATAGGGAGGTAAAAGGTCACTCTTCATCTCGAATCTCCCACTATGGTATCTCATAAAAGACTCGCATAATTTTAAAGTAGAAACAAGAATGAGAAATGAGGGTTAGCTAGAAAATGTGGAGTTTCATGTAATAACTCAAAGACTCTCATATAAGGAAAGCAATCCACTAAATTGATGTTTACAACCCACAATAACCAGCAAATCAAAGATGATGAGAGACCATACAAAGAATTGCAATGTGAAGTACTGAGAAAGTACCAACTACAGAGAAGGTCAAAATGTAGTTTTCAGCAACAGAAACATCACCCAAAGAAGCAACTTAAAATAATTTAACAAAGAGAGAGAGAGAGAGAGAGAGAGAGAGAGAGACCAGCTCCTTTAGAATCAGCTCCTTGAATGAGAGTGAGGTCGACCATGAGAGGTTGAGGTTGAGATGAAGAGGAGGAGGAAGGCCTAGTTGGGACGACATCGCTTTCTAAGAAAGAAAGCTCAGACAGTGTCTCAGATCCAAAGGAGAAAATCCCAGACAGTAAGCATACAAGTTCAACGGCTATCAAAAGCAGCTTCATTGTCATCTTAATGAAGCTGACAACAATGTTCTTTCCACTTTCCGCTGTTTACTTATTCACTCACTCAATTTATCTCTTCCCTTGTCTTTCACTATTTATTTGTTTTAAACAACGACACTTGCTGTGTCTCTTGGCATGTGGAGCAAACAACTCTGGTAGACCCATGTCCAATTTCCTGTTCTCTTTTTCAATATTTTGTTGTTTTTCTTCACACAACACGATTCACGATAATAAAGTTTAATAATACATGATGTCTTCAAAATTACGCTACATCTTCATTAAGAACCTATACCTCTTGCTTTCCATTTAGTCATGGAGAGGGCACCCATAGCCCACGTACTTTTTCCATCAAATAAATCAATCCACTTATTTTCTGCCCCTTTTTTTTTAATTGGTGGGCTAAATCGGAAGAAATATTTTGATTACAACACAATCATTGTCATGACTAATTGAAGGCACCGACGGAGCCAATCACGTAAAATTCCATCTGTTATTGAAGGGTATCAAGATTTTCCTGTTTCCTATCACAAAGTCTATAAATTACGCTTCCGGTTTTGGTTTTCTTTGTTTTATTTTACCAAATATGATTCAGTATATTAAATAGATAAATAGAACATTCATCATAGATTCTTCATTATGTTCTTAAACATGTAAATAAATACTAGTTTGTAATATTTTAACTGATAATATCTTCATAATATATACAAGATATTTAAAAAATAAATAAATAAATTATAAGCTTTAATTGTATCAAGTATTTAAAAAAAAATTTGGAAAGGCGTTAGTTGAATTTATTTTTGACGAGCTGTTCAATTGATATCATTTTAGTGGACGGATCCATATGAATGACTAGAAGCTAAAGTAAGGGGCTAAATAATTAGCTTTACTTTTTCTGTGTATTCGGTAGACATCGGGTTAAAAGGCAATGTAATGACCAAAGTTTTGCTGTGTCCACCACTTCTAGAGGGAATTGATACTTCGCAAAAGTAGGATTACATTATACCACCATATCACACGTCTAGGGTTTAATGGTTTATTAGTATATACACTCTGAGTAAAAACAAAAACTTTCATATCTAATCATATGTAACATACATTACAAACTGTTATATTTATTATTATTTACCGCACAAGTTTTCTGCTCGACATTTTACTAAGCTTATCTTTTATGCTTATTATAAAAACATAATACCCAATTTTATGTTTGATAGCATATTTTTAAAAGGCCATTGACATGGGCAAGTTTTCAACTTTTTATAGGAAACACAGCCAATTTAACAATGATGGAAATATGTAACACAACAACTACAAATTCAGTTCACGAGTTACTGAGAAGACAGATGATCGAAATAGCACAATGCCAATAGATCAATTGACGGCGGTGGTGCCCATTGACATTACTAACTGTATAGATCAACGTTATTTATCATTAACAAATTGTTTAAACTCATGCACCCCGAAAAACACTGATGATAACATACTGTTAACTACTTAAGTAATTAAGTAAATTCCTAAAGGTTGGTCGCGAAAGGACAGATTATACAAAAATAATATTTCTTAAAATTTTCAGACAGCTCAGCTGGTATTTGCACCGCGGTATGATAATATGTGAGGGGAAAATCCAAACACATCGTTTTAGCTTCAAGGAATCAATCAACTTATAAATAATTTATCTGGGGGATAAAATCTATATGCAACTAAAAGTAACAAACGGGGAGGGGGGAAATTTACACCCCAAAGGACTCCATTTGTGGAGCAAATTGAAATAATCCTGCTAAGAAGCTCGGGCAAAAATTAGCTTCCCACAGATTATTATAATTGGCATAAAAAAAAATTGGGGACATAGCTAGCTAACCTATGCAGGCACTGAGCCACTGGACAATATCTCATTTTCTTCACCAAACTTATGATGTTTGTATACTTCAAGCAGCAGTTCCCTACACGGGACAACGGCCTCAATCTTAATGCACGCCAAAAAAGCACCGGAAAGCTTTCTGTGCAGACTATAGGCTTCATCAGGTGGAGGAGTGAGCCTGTGCTTCAGCATTGTTGCTCCAAGATGAGAAATGCTTTGAGTAATGTTGTTTGATCGGAAATCAAATCCACCAGATCTTGAGAATGGCAAACCCACAATAAACCCAGCTTGGACGTGGGCATCTAGCATGACATCTGATTCCATTCCGGTGAGGAACCCAAGTCTCCTGGACATCTCAATGACCCCATCACTATCACCATTTGCACATGCTAGAACCTAATCAATTATGCATCATAAACAATAATAAGAATCCCGAAGAATTTGCTGCTCAGCTAAAGAAAAGGGTATAGCAGTCAAGTACTCCAACCCCCTTCCCACACCAAGTTGTGGAAAGTGCAATTAATCAAGTGTTACTAAGTCATACGATGAAAACATAGAGGAAAAATTGAATTAGAAAAACGGCACTAAATGCGTCTGTTTAATGATCACTTTAGTTACTAGGGTGGGAATCATAATATAAGTGCAATAAATTGCTATGAAGGCAGATTAACATACAATTTAGGAAAAACTATATATATATTTTAATCGGATAAATACATATTTTTCATTTAATAATTATGTATATCTTTAATACAATTTAAATATTTTACCGGTTAAATTTTTAATCATCACTATTAAGGAAATCATTAGTTTTTTTATGATTGGGTTTCATTATTTTTATTTGTCACAACTTCTTACACATCCTAGGATTCCTAATTTGTAATATGTTTTCCCAAGATTATTTAAATTATTTTCTTTGCTATCAATTTTTTAAATAATATAAAAGTCCTATTTTTTCTCACATGACACTAAAAATCATAGAAATTAACATATTCATCATTTAATCCATATAACATAAAGTATCGACTTCCTTAACCATGACAATTATAATCTTAACAGAATAATTAATTATATATGAAAAACAGACAAAAAATATTTTAATTGCACTAAAAATAAATATTTGTCATAATTGTTGTTTGAAAAATATTTTACCCAGTTAAATATATGTGTGGTATTTTATAATCATTAATATATGTATATAGGCAAGTATGACTGAGTAAAATAAAAATTAAACAGGGGAAACAAAAAAATGAAGATTTCAAACCTCAGCTTAGTTATTGATATAAAGCGATTAGTTAGAAAGAGAACCAACCATTCTTAAATAATCATCAACAAATCTTTTAGGGTAATCCCGAGCTGCTCCAAAATCAATCAGATTGATTGTCTTTGTAGCTTCATCAAATAAGAAATTACCCCAATTAGGATCGGTCTGCATTAAAAACACCCTTCTCCAAGTTAAGAGACCACAAAATCATATTTGAAGGTGTGTGATCTAAAGAAAACTTTATGTGAAGTTAACACAACATTAAAAGACATCAATGATCAAAACAGAATAGAAAGTAAATTTCATGAACATATACATATATGACCTCATTGTATACATCTTACTAGATATTTGGGAAAAAAATTTGATAATATGTGTTAAGCTCAAGTAGTCTAAAAGTAGTCTAAAATGTCTTGTCAACTGATTCAACAAGTAACTGCAAAATGGTATAACCTAGGCTCTAGTATTATTGGTATTGGTAACTCTAGCAGCCATAGTCACTTATAACATCACTATACCACATCAAATTTGCTTTACAGTGTATAGGAAGTGAACTATGTACAAATAGTGAAGCTTTCCCACTTAAATCTTAACCACTTTGCACTTAACATGAAAATTTATTCATAGATGCACGTCAATGAGGATAATAATTTCATTCAGACCTAATCATTTGTCATATTCACTCAAGTCTTTAGACAACACCTGAACAATATAATTAAACCAAAAATCCTCAGGTAAACTAACTAAAGTCATTGTATCAACAATAGCCTGTAATATTTTACTAGTGCACACAGATAAACACAGGGAAGAATAACATGCCTGCATAAATCGGAATACAAATAACTCCATCAATGTGAGTTCTAATAACTTTTTGCCAATATAATTACGAGTTTCCTGGTCCAGTGATGCCACTTTATCAATTGTAATTCCTGTAGCAAGAGAAAACCACCCAATGTTCAAAGACAAGCAAAAAATTTAAATCACAAGAATATCATTCTATTGATTTAATCTAAATATTGTAAACAGATTGATTGTTAAAACTGATAAGAAATCAAACATTTTTGCTACATATTTTTCCCCCAACATTGTAGTAAAAAGGAAAGCATCCCTTGTTTAGTGAACAGGACTAGTAACTTCTCTCAAAAAAGTTACGAAATACTTGAGCAAAGATTGATTAAAAACATCATGGACAAAATCCTGTTCATAAAACTATCTGATTGAAGGTGTTAGAATTTCTCAAAACATAATACAATGAATTACATAATGTTTCTTATTGTTAGCCAATCTTTCTTTTCACGTTTAATGAATAAAAAAAATGTAAAGATGAAATAATTGACTAAATGACTAACAAATGAGATTACATAAGATAAAATACGAGCATGTACAGGGAAAATCTGCTACCCAATATGCAAACTATATTCAATGCAAATAATACTACATGTATATTGAGAGCATCACCATCTATTCAGGATGTCAACTGCAGGGCATCATACACCACATACGTTTTTCTTCTTTTGAATCACTTGGGTGCTTAAGCAGGCTATGCAAGTTATGGTACCAGAAAGTTGCATGGAAGGATGTATAAAAAAATGCATCACAAGAACTGATGAAATTTGTATAATTACCATAAACAAGCTCTGTAGTTAATACTCTTCTACTTGAAATATCATCCACAACAATTGGAACATAAAATCCGTCTATCCCAGTAAGATGATCTCGGAACCGCTTCTGATTTGCTGCCTCCAACCTGTAATCACATTCGCGGGATAATTCTTCTTTGGCCACCTAGAAAAAATACAGAAGAACTTAAAAGGCAAGGTTTAACATATAGACATATATTTCATCAAATTATGGAGACATTTTTTTCTATGTGATAGGTAAGAGACTCCAGATCACTACCAACCATAGATAAATATCATACTGCATAGTCCAATTTAGGAGAGACTACATGGAAAATTAGATGGATGGTTGGTGAAGAGGCAAAAAGAAAGAGATGCTAATAAAAGAGTTACACAAGCAAGTATGTACACAGATCAAACTATTACATAGTGAATACGGTTTAGGATCTCACTGATGAATCTGAAGGCATATCATATCACTCAATGAAAGGAAGAGAGGGGCTAAGGGATCCAAACCCCTACATACAAGATAGAAAATGTGTGGATTTACAGACTATGAAATGAGAATATTGATATAAACACACAACTGAAAGCATGCCTGAATTGATTGAATTATATTAATAAATACGCACCTTTATAGCTCTGTCAAGATAAAGTCCTTTAGGAATTAGATTTGTGTAGTTTAAAACAAGCTTCACATTCTCAATGTCACTATCAATGCTATCTGCAACACCAGGGTACTGAATTTTCATTGCGACTTGCATGCCATCCTTCATGACAGCTTGATGCACCTAAATTCCATGAGAACCCTAATTAGGCAATACTATATTACTAAGCACAAATGCTCCAACATAAAGTTGCATAATATTGCTGCTAGGACATTCGTAAAAAATTGTCCAGCTTACAATATTATATTGAACATAGGATTTCATGCAAAATAAAAGGAATTATAGCAAAGTTAGGCATTCTTATAAGGGTGACTTTAGTATGAATCCAAAGTGAATTAGAGAGAGTCCAAAGTCAACTCAGTCAGGCATTATGGAAAGAAGGATTGAATTTTCAAAGCTCCTTATATTAGCATAGTTTTATTTGCAACTGATATCAACATGACTACAATATATTGGGAAAAACTCAGGTCCCTACCATCAACTAGAGACATGCCAAAATATGATATATAAGTAAGGGCAATCCTCACCTTGTAAGTTGATTTTATAAAGTTGAGGTAAACGTAAACTATTTTCTAAGATAGTATCAGAGTTTATCCTATATCCATTAAAAGGGTCATTAACCTTGTTATCCATACCAAGCCCAATAGTGTTGGAAGTGAGGGGTAAATGGGAAAAACCTAAGTCTCATATCAACTAGAGATAGTGCCAAATTAGTATATAAATGGGGACAATTCTTATCTTACAAGCCTATTTTGAGTTGAATTAGGCTATCCCAACTTTGAAGTTTGTACAATGCACAGGCTCACTTATCTAGTGCCGAAATTCAACTAGTTATAAGAAGAAGAAGGGCAGTAATGATCGAACTTAGGACTAGATAGAGACTAATATCATATCAAAGTTCAAGAAGCAGTTAGATGAAGATTCATAAGTGGATTTTATACACATCTTACACCCAAAAGTACAAAGTTCAAGGAATTCAAGAAATAAATTGAAAATAGGAAGAAAAAAAGACTCAGTAACGTCTAAAGTAAAAGTAACTAACAAAAATCTGAAAGGGGAAAAGACAAGGCAGTTTTCAACTTTTATGTATTGGAAACTACTTGAGAAATACATATATTCTAACAGAGAGAGGGAAAACAATTAAAGCTGCAGAAATCTGGCATGCAAAAATCAAAACAAGTAAATGATAAAATGTCAAAAAGATGGCATATTGATATACGATTTAACATCAAATTCATGTTTAGGATTGTTTCAGGACAATTTTCACCTATCGAACAATTAAAAAAAGGGTAAATAGAAAATGTGGATGGAGATAAGATATGAAAAATACACCACAATCTAAATTAATAAGTCAATAAAGATTCGCCACATTGAATATGAAAATTCAAAGATAAGAATTAAAAGTTCTTCACAAGAACTAAGAGAGAATTTCTCTCACAAAGTCTAAGCTACAAAATTTTCTAAGAGTCTTATATACTATGATCCTAAGACTCAAAAGCCCATTCCTAATTAGGCCAAATAAACCTTCTAAGTCCTAATAGATACTAATGTCTAAAATGACTAATTACAAAAATATAGAAATACACACAAGGCCCAATAAAGACCCAATACAAGAAAATAAAAAAAATTAAAATCCAAAAATTACAATTAAAATTCTAAATCTATTATTGACCCCTTCATGCACTCATCACATATGTAGCAAAGGTGGCAGCTGAATCTCCTTGTGACTCCCATTCCTCAAGATCTTATGGATCCTTAATCTGGCTATGTGTACTTTTTGGGTCTATATTCAGTTAACTTAGCCTATACTTGGCTAATGAAAAATAATCTAATTTTAGCCTGCTTTGGACAGATTTTCATGCTCCTATTATGGATACAGAAGTTTGGTCTACTTTTGATCTAACTAGGCTGATTCATAAGAATTTGGATCCTGGTGTTTTAATGTTTAACAAGAGAGGTCCTGTTTAATAAATCCTAACCATCTAATGCATTTATTACTAAATCTAGCCGTTGAAATAAAATTAAATTTGGGGGGGGGGGGAATGAGGGCCTACTTTAGTGGGATAATGGATTGGTTAGCTTTTATTTCAACATCAAATAATAAACACAATGAAATGTTAAAATTTTATTAAATAGGATTTATCCTATTAATCTCAAATAGGAGAGGATCCAAATCCAATTCATAATGGTACTTCTGATATTATTCTGCCAGTAGCACCCAGAATTTTTCCAATAAAGCTCCTCATCTCGTGAGCTGGAGTTGTTCTCCGCCCAGTTTCTTCAAGCTCAATGAGGATGGAACTTCCTTTGATGATCAAGGTAGATCTGGCTTTGGAGGATTGGTCAGAGATGATTCAGGAAACTGAAACTTTGGCTTTTCTGGTTATACTGACATTTCTTGAAATATCCATGCTCTCAAGCCTATTAAATGTAGAAATGGCTTGGGACAGAGGCATCTGAAAACATCAATCTGCCATTCGGATTCACTTCATAAGGTTGACTTTAAATACCATATATGCACTTGCTTAAATTCAGTTTCAAGAAATTAAGCTCCTATGACAGACTACTTACTATTCATCAAGCATATTTTTATGGTCGCCTATTTTTGTGCCATCTGGTTAGCTAAGGACGGTGCCATGCATGATGAAGCCTAAAGTGTGAGGATTGTTCCTTCACATCAGCTTTACCTGCTTCTTTGGGCAGATGTTAGGGTGTGTCTCTCATTAGAAGTTAGGTTGAGTCTCTACTTTTTTCAGATGTAATGTAACACCGCAAATACAAAAAACATAAATACCTGGCCGATACTTGCAGCAGCTATAGGTTCATAATCAAAACTAATTAATTTTGATGGCCAACCAGGACCTAATTCAGCATCTAAAACTTGATTAAGCTGCCCCTTTGGCATCACATCTGCACCTTGACGGACAATTTCTAATGCAGCCAAGATCTGCAGATAAAGAATTAAGAGTTGACGTTTGAAGTCAAATAAAAATATAAACAAAATTAATTTACTGATTCCTCCATGCAGAATATTTTTTTAGCAGCTAATATGACAATCATAAGCACAACAAAAAATTAGAAGTAATAGATTCGAAGCCTAATTAGAAAGTCTGACAAGCACCATTAACCATCGAAAACATAATCATGGCAAGTTTCTAGTTAGAAGATCTTTGTCCATTACGCAGTCTTAAGTTATTTAATATCAAAATCTGTACTTTCAAGATCTGTCTACCCTTGTCCAATTGAAAGAAGAATGCATGTCTGACTGCGGATGACATGTGATCCATGTTCAACTACAACGGATATAATTATGCTGAACTGAAGCAAAGACTTAGAGCCTATTTAAAAAGTCAATCAACTAAATACAGTAATACATTAGGCAGGTCACATTACCGGAGCAGGAACAAGTGACTCGTCCTGTATGCTCAACATCTGCCCAATTTTAAGCGCAGCTCCACGCATTCTACACAGTGCAAGAGCCAAACGTTCTGCATTTTTTTCAGATAAAAACGGGGAAAGTGCAGATTGGTTGCCTGGCGAAGCAGGCGTACCAAAGGCAAGCCTCTTGGCAGATTCCTGAAGTGTCCCCCACGCAAGACCCGCTCCTAGCCCAGCAAACCTACAATTGGATAATAATAACAAACAATTGACTTAGAAATAGTAAATGCTGATTCATCACAATTCACAGCAACGAAAGCAATGGATCGTATCACAGTGATGAATTTTTAACGAAATCAAACAACACTAACCCAAGAGCCCTAGCAAATGGAGTTGCGGGAACCTTCCTCTCCCTGGGTTTTCGTTTCCTCAACGGCGGCGAAGGTGCCACATCCCCACTCGCATCTTGATTAACCGTTTTTGCAGAAGTCACAAGCTCACTTTTCTCTTCTTCCGCAGCACAAACATTTGCATCGGAAGCTTGCCGGTGATATGCGTCGGAAGAAGAATTGGCATCATCGCCATCGTTTGTTATTGTTGTTGGTGTTGGTGCTGGTGCTGGTGCTGAATCAGATTGAGGAGGATTATCGTGGGTGAAAAAAACAACGGAACTAGAAGCAGTATCAGCGTGGTGGCGTGTAGGGTTTGCGGAGGGTGGAGGGTTGGGGAATTGGCGAAGCTTTCCTTTGGTGATGCCGGTGAGGTCGGTGGCGGAGAGGAGGGTTTTCTTGATTAGGGTATCGAAATGATCGGTTGTGGCGGGTAAAGAGCGCTTGGCGAATTCGTTGGCTACTAAAGAGAGGCCGTTGAAGAGCCTGGCGAGGTCTCTGAAGGAAGACGCCATTACTTTCTTCGGAGATTCAGAATCGTCATGTCATGTTGCAGTGAGTGCTGCTGAGTCTATTGATTAAGGAGGCAATGCTTCTTTGGTGGTTCGTTTTGAATTCATGTTTCCAAACCAAACGCGTGTACGTGGCCTCTTTCTCCTCCATCAAACTACAAGAACGAGAAACAAAACAAGTATGTAAGAAATATTATGCTTTCACAATCATATAAATAATGATAAAATCGATGTTTATTTTTAGGTTTATGGTTTTATTAATATCGATTTTATTACCATTTTTTTTTAATATGATTACAATACTTAAATTAAAAATCAATAAATATTTTTAAAGAGATTAATAGCAATACTTTCATCACATAATCTTTTATATAGATAGATAAATAGAACTTATAAATTACAATTAAATTTAATTATTATCAATATCTATTAATTATAACACACACTTAAAATATTATTTTAATCCTCTTTTTGAAGCATACAAATTATATATTACAAGCTTGCAATAATAAAATTGAATTGATCCCTTTAAGAATTTGGTTAGCATATCTACAAATTGATAATTAGAAGCAACATGTGTTTGTACATATCGTTTTTAATAATAACTTCTCTCGAATAAAATGATAATCAATTTTTGTATGCTTAAAAATGCAGATAAATTAGAAAAGTGTACTCTTTGACATTGTTACTTATGAGAATTTTAATCACTCTACCAAATTGATTTTTAACTTCATTAAAAAAGAGGTAAATACATATAATAGTTTAGAACAATATTTTATCAAATACATCTGGAATATTTAAGAATAAATGTAACAAAATACTTAAACTCAAAAGATGAGACACAACTTGGACCTCAAATATCGGAATGGATAATAGAAAAAATAGAATTACATCTTGATTCAATTTTTTTAAAAATGAAGCTCTGACATGTTTTCCTAGTTAGTATGACTTGCACTCTAAAGTCTGAATACTATTAATTTCTGTGACTAATTTTTTTAATTTTGATAAATGGGAATGACCCAGCAAATGGGATGTAAAATAAGACACATGTAACTTAGCTAAAAAATAATAGAAACTTTTATATTTATGTCCTTCTTCAATCTAGCATCTTGTATCACATTTTTGTATGATAATAGATTTTGCATCAAAGGTTATTGATCAATCAAAGAACTTAGTTAATTGACTTAATGAAATAAGATTGAAGGGATAAGAAGTAACAAACAAAACATATTTTAACTTTAAGGAAGGAGAAAGAGAGACTTGATCAACTCATTGGAATGCAATTTTAGAATCATTAACTAAAGTTATAAAATGATGACTTTTCAAAAAAGGATAGAGATGAGAACAAGGATGTATTACCAGAAATGTGATCAGACGCATCTAAGTCAATTATCCATAAATTTTGACTTTCTACAAATTGTGAGATGCAAGTTGTCGACGAACTGGAGTTGTAGATGATAGTGTCATGGATTTCAACCTTAAATACTCTTAATATTCTTCATCATAAAATTTTGGTTCAACAACATCAATTTTAGAGATATGGGCAAACTTGTCAGGAAAATCATGCAAAGCTAAACAATTCTCTTGATCATGACTCATCCTTTTACAATATGAGCATTGAGGATATCCTCGACCACCATGTCCTCCTCTAGCATAGTGTTCTCCTTTTCTACCTATGGAAATCATGATAGAAGATTTCATAGGTTCATGAACATTTTTACTTTGAAAAGTAGAAACACAAAGAAGACGAGTGGTCAGACTTTCTATAGATGAGACTTCATACCCTGTTAGCAGTTGATTTCTAACATATTCGAAGTCAAGATGCATGATACGAAGTATCATCACCATATAAAATTTATCTATTTTCTTCTAATGACTCCACTTCTAAGAACATGAAAGATATCATATAATTATCAGATTGTTTAAGAGAGACAAGTCTATTTGCAGAGTCTTTTTCCAAAAGGGTTACTAGTTATAAATAATCTAAGAGTACCCAATAATTTGGGTTCCACAGACTGTCATAGTAGTGCACATGCACAGAGTTGAAATCAGTTATCTTCCATTGTTTAGCTTTATTAGGAGGCACCATACTTGCATATTATTCAAGTTGGTTATGGAGACCTTGATCAAGGAACCACATTTCAACAGAATCAGATCAAGAGAGATTTTTTTCTATTCAATTTCTCATAAGTGATGGTAGGAGCAGTGACGAATCTTCTTGGGAACAGGGGACGTAGCCTTCCTAAAGTTTTGTAACTCCATATAATTTATGATTTTGGTTTCTCAAACTTAATGATTATTTAATATATTTACTTATATATTTATAATTTTATCCTCTTACCATTTTATCTTCTTTACATTTCTATAATTTATTAATAATATATTATTTGATCTTCCAAAATTAATGGTCAAGGTTCACCATTAAGTAGGAGTGCATGAGAAAAAAACATGTCCAAAAGACATGTTTCTTAGAATTTTCACATGAAATCACATGGACAATGAAGAGATATAATGGCGACGAACGATAACAACAAACGGTAGTAATGGACGACAAATTTAATATTAATAGAGAAAAATATTTGAAGAGGGATTAATCACACTATTTTCGTAGTAATCTCGTGTATATATAGATTGAGATAATTACAATTTATAAATTACTTCTAAATCCAATTATTAGCAATGAATTAATTATCCGAACTAATATTGTTATATATTATTAAGTCTTCACATGTGATGTTCGATATGTGGTTCACCTTAGCCTACTCTTGGAATTACCACTTTCTCCTTACTTGTTATTTATAGCATTCACATGTTAATCTGCTGTATTGATTGTAGAAGTGTTTTGTTATTTATCACAATCCAAACTACTTTTTTTGAGTTTTTTTTTCACAGTTCTCTGAAATCCCATAAAACTGGTCAGATTACGTAAAACAACGTTAATTATCCAACCATTTTTCAAATTATTTAAATGGGTCTACAATCTAATTTATTTTATACAATAATAATTATATCATCTTATTAATATATATATATATATATATATATAATTACTATATGTAAAATTAAAAATATTTTTTTATTGTGAATTAAATTTTAAAAATACGTATGTTTTTTTATTTTAAATTATTATATTTTCATTTTATTTAAAATAGACTAAAAATAGTCATTAACCTAATATAAGATTAAATTGAACTACATATTATTTTATTTTTTTCTTTTAAAAGCTTAAACATTTCAAACATTCTAAAATACCAATGAAAATAATTTAACATTATCCTGTGTAAAAATATTTTAGATTTTAACTCAACAATAATTGGTTTTTAATTAATTATAAATGAAATACATATAAGTTAAATTCAAAAATTAAGACAAATAATGAAAATTTTCCTAATCGTTTTTAGACTATATCTGATTCTTAACTACAATTGATATCAGAGCTTACATTTTTTTGTCATTACCAATTATTGTAAAGATCTTGTTAAAAGAGTGTTGGGGTTGTTAAGAAAAAACATAAAAAAAATTCACATTATTTTTCTTAATTATTAAAATAAAAAAAGTATATATATATATATATATATATATATTAATCCATGTTATTTATCATCAATTAATTTTAAATCAAATTTAAATCCAACTACTATATAATATTCTCACATTCTTCAACTTAAAGTCAAAGTAAATTTTTACTTATAAAATTATAATTTAATATTATAAAACCAACCTTTTAACATCAAAATTTCAATAACATATATATGATTTGACTACTTTTTTTATTTAGATTTGAACTTCCAACAAATATCTACTTATAACTTACTAATACATCATGATAAATCTCTAAAAATATATTTTTAATACTTTCATAAAAAATAAAATTTACAGATTATATAAACTTGATTTCATTTTTTTAATCATTTTTAATAAGACTATTTTATCTTTTATCAAATAAAAATAGTAAATTATTATTAAAAATATAAATTAATAATTACCTAAAGTAATTAATTACTTCACTTAATGACCATTCAACATGAGTTATTAAAACCAAATTCAGCATGACAGCATTTAAAATAACTATACATTTAAAATAATAATAATAATAATAATAATATGTTTTTAAATAAAAAATATATAAAAATTAATATGATAAAAATTGCATATACACGTTTCCGTTAGTAAGGATAATACAAATTTAGTTTATGAAACTTAACTAATAAAACCTCTAACCTTACGAAAAAGAGTTAAAATTGTGTGGGTCATATGTTCCCGATTTTTTTACTCCATATTCAATGTTGGCGTGGCAATGTAAACCACCACCCCTTTAGTGCTGATGATTTGGCTTCTACTACCACCACCCTAACATTGTCACATGCATGGACCGTGGTGTGGTGGCTTCTGTTTTGTACGCAAATAAAAGGACATTAAATAACAAGACTTTGAATACCTCATCAGTCATCTCCATTTTCCTTGCTATGAAAATCTCATACCCACCAGCAAATATCAGTTTTCTTCGAGTGAAGCGTGTAGAGTCAGCATTCATTACTAGTGATTTTTTATGTCATCAAATTTTGATCAGATCAAAAAATAATCATCTTACAAAAAATACAGTGACATTAAATAAGAGACATTATTTTTACGTTTGATCTCTTATAAACCAATATAAAAACTACATTTTATGTTTGGTGACTTCCTAACCTACTTAAAAATCACATTTTAATTGTCTAAAAATTTCTTTTTCTTTCGCACATGAGAATTTTGAATAACGATAGCGGTAGCAACTAAACTAGTTCTTCTCAAGATACCACTACTAAAAATACTCATTTTTCGTGGAATAATTTTGCAAAATTTTTGTAAAAATTACAAGAAATAAGTTTTCTATAAATTTAAACAATTTTTTGCAAGAAAATTGGCAAAAAAAACTAGTTTTCTAGTAGTGTACAATTGATCACGGAAAGACTTTTATTGTATCTCATATGTGATGGTTGAAAATAAAGTCGATGTACGATTTTTACGTTCAACATTTATAGTATTTTAGTTTATAAGTTATTGTTTATATTGTATTATGTAATTTAACATTTAGGTAACTTAGTTTTTGTATTAGTTTAGTTTTGTAATATTTATCTTTTAAGTAATTTAATCTTTTTGCTAATTTAATCTTTGTATTATATTGTATTGTTTTGTATTTTGTTAATTATTATTTATTGAAATTCGAACTCGCTGTAAGACAAAAAAAAAAATTTTACTTCGGATAAGAGATATATCTTACGTAAATTTATGTTGGTTATATTCTAAGTTAGACCTAAATTTACTTTAAGTATATCCTAGGTCTGACATAAATTTAGATCAAATATGTCCCCTGATTCGTTGTAATTTTACGTCAAATATATTTTTATTCGAAATAAATTTATATTTTCTATATTAACGTCATACTTATTTCTAAGATAAAAACGCCAAAATAAGTATCTTATTCCGAAATAAATTTATATTTTCTATACTAACGTCATACTTATTTCTAAGATAAAAACGCCAAAATAAGTATCGAGTCGTGATGCAAATATCAACTCCTAATAACCAGAGGATTCAACCCAATACTTAATGAAAAATGGAGCAGTTATGGCCCAGAAAGTGACAGAAAAAGTAGATAGATGACGAATTCTAACAAATGAAAGAGTGACAATGCTCACCACCTCAGAAATATTTTGTCACCTCGCATATGAAGCTTAGTGGTGGGGTCTTCCCACAGATTCATGTACTTGTATAAATACATTTTATAAGCCACGAACGACCATTTCGTGTCCTATAGAGGTATTACATTCGAACACTCTTGTTTACTTTTGGGTAAAGGTATTGTTACGTTTAGTTTCGTCCCACTTATTGTACTTGTTTTTATCTCAGTTCACTAATGTCTTGTTAATGTTCATAAAGTCTAGATATTATTTTATTTGAATATGTGGTTCACATTGGTACGCATGTTTCACTCAGTGATTAATTAACATAACCCATGAAATGACTAATACTTACTAACTTACCGTCAAGCAGATTCGAGTGGAGAGCATCGAACTATAAATTTACGATTTGGTTTCTGATGTCAGTAATCCCTTGAGCTACTTAATTGGTAGTGTATTAAGTGATCACCAGATTCTGATCAAATTTGGGGTGTTAATGCTTAAACTTTTGTACTCTTGCTTTGAAATTAGTTAGGCTTGTTTTAGTTGGTTTCTATTTCTTACTTTTCAGTTGTTCATATTCTTATAAGATCATCAAAGTGCAAATATAGTTCCACTTATGCTATTTCTGAAACTTGTTGCAGATTTGAAATTCTGCTAATATGGATACTGCTCTTAGGAGGAATGTTGGAGTCAAGTACGAGTGCTTGCTTTTTGGTATGATTGGTGCAAGCAACTTACTAACCTTTTTTTCCTTTTGATTTAACTTACCTACACAGCCTGCTTGAAAATTGCCCATTGAAATCTTGGCTAAGTTTTATTAGGTATTGTTTGAGAATTAGAAAAACATCAATTTAGAATTCAAGACTGACGAAAATAAGTAATTCAGTTTGTCTGTTTCAAAAGGGAAAAAAAAGGTTAATGGTGGTCTGTTTATCCATAAAATTGGAAAAATTTGACTAATTTCTAATTCCAAATGCTGGTCACAGATATGGATGATACTCTCTACCCGTTGAGTTTAGGTCTCAATTTGTTTTGTCGCAAGAACATACAAGGTACATATTCTAGTGTTAGAATAAGATCCTATATATTCTAATGTTCAGGTAATCTCATTTATGTGATACAAGTACTGTAGTTAACCAATCTTTTTTTGCAGAGTATATGTTAGAACGGTTGCATATTGAAGAAAATGAAGTGCCAAAAATGTGCTTGGATTTGTATAGAGAATACGGGACAACCATGGCAGGATTGAAGGTACGAAGATTTGGTACTGCCCTCATTTTTCTCTTCATCATACTTCTGAAATCGATTCACTGTCAAAGATATAATATAAGTGAGTTTACATAGTTTGAAGAGAAATTCTTTTCCTGCTATGTTTTCTACAACTAGGATAGATAGATAGATACATGAATATAAGATAAGAACCATGATGGGATGAAAAAGACAAAAACAAATCATTTGTAAGTATAAATAATTTTAATTTGAAGTCTTAATTTGATTTAATAGTTTCTTCTCAGGTCCTTGGTTATGAATTTGACAATGACGAGTTTCATGCTTACGTGCATGGAAGATTACCATATGAAAAACTGAAGCCTGATCCAGTACTAAGGAACCTTCTGATTTCCATGCCTCAACGTAAAATAGTATGTCAGGAAAAAGTTAATCCTCGTACAAATATAACTTGGTTCAAAGAAGAACATTCCATAATATCCTTTGACTTTAAAACGTTAATTTGCAGATATTCACCAATGCAGATCACGCACATGCTGTTAAAGTTCTCAGCAGATTGGGTTTGGAAGATTGTTTTGAGGGGATCATATGCTTTGAAACGCTTAATCCTCAAAAACAAATCAACTACATAGATTTACCGAATGATAATCATGTTCTCAAAGATTTAACACAGAGTGGATGTTTAAATTCCCACACACATATTCTCTGTAAACCATCTGTGGAAGCCTTTGAAGCTGCTATTCGGATTGCTAATGTGGATCCAAAGAAAACAGTAAGATCGAGCACTTACCTAGAAGTGACACGGGATTATTACTTACGTTATGTGGTTATTTATGTAATATTTTTATCCTCAGTTTTAAAACTCTAGGAATAAATTCATAATAGTTCTATCCTATCTTCTGCAGATTTTCTTTGATGACAGTGTTAGAAATGTTGCAAGTGCAAAAGTAGTTGGACTTCATACTGTTATAGTAAGCCATAGTCTGCTATCTATGCATTTTATGAGAAGATAGAAGCAGTTAAATAACTCCACATTCTTGTTCATTTGTGATGATGCAATATTGCAATGTAATCTAACAAGTAAATAACCTATTGATGGCAGATGGGTCATTCAGATTTGGTGCCTGGTGCTGATCATGCGCTGAATAGCATTCATAATATCAAAGAAGCACTACCTGAAATATGGGAGATTGAAGAAAGCAAACAACAGCAAAAGATTGAACCCCCAGCAGTGGAAACCATGGTCCTAGCTTAAGTTTTGCCTCCAAAAAATATTTTAGCAAATCATGAGTTTTATTTAACCCAAGCTTGTGTCTATCTAAATCTGCAATAAGTTTGAAATCTCTCCATAGCATGGCGATGCTTAACTATATGAAATTGACACATTGAATGGATGAGAAACTAGTTAATGTAAATTGCAGAGCTAATTATTATGGGAGAAAAACATCTACTCATATACTAAATAAAGTTTTTTGTGGGTCTAGTAAATGGTAATACAAGATATGTGTAACAATAAATGACACATAAACATTGCAAATCGTAATTGACAGATAGAAAATTGTACCGCACTTCAGCGTAAAGATCAACTGTATAGCAGTTCACTAGAATTAGCAATTTTGCATGAGTTTCGAGGGCTACGAAACTTTCTTGTTTCCTGTTATTCAAGTCCCTCACAACATCCATTCCATGAAACGAACACAACTCTGAGATTCTCTAACCATGGAGTTTACAACATGAATTAACATAATTTATTTAGAAAGGCTAAAACCTAAACAAAGTTTAACCGATGTCTGAATGTAATGGTTGGAATGAAAAAGTCTTGGATGGCTTAGCTAAGCAATTGGACATTAAAATGAGTGAATCAACATTGCCAAAAATATTTGTGTTATGGGCTAGAAGTTGTTCCAAGTGTATTTGTCAATTTCATTTAAGAAAAAAAAAAAAATTATAGTTGACTGTTGATCACCAATTTTATGAATTGCATCATAAAAGAAAGGGTTAAACTAATGCATAACATTTTGATTAAAGTATTTATGCACAACTTTTAAGAAATTAAAGTTGGATGAAAGAAACACGAAACAAATATAAAATAAGATTTTAAAACTTTTTTACAAAATTATATTTTTAGTTCTTAAAACGTTTTTAATCCCTAAATTAAGATCACCAGATAGATTTCAAGGTTTAATCAGATTCATTCAAATTTAATAAAATAATATTTCTATAATATAATAAATTTATTAGAAATAATATTTATTAGAAAAAAATTACTTATATAATTATAAAATATATTAAAGCAAATAAAATAAATAATTATTAAAATAAATAAAAATATAATAAAATAATTATTATTTAAAATTGATGTAATACAAGATAAATATATATATATATATATATATATATATATTATACCTTTTATAAAAAAAATTAATTTTAATTTTTTTTAATTACAATCGATTTCAGCTAAAAATTCAATTATTTTTTTTCAATTTAATTAAAATCTAATTATTTGAAAGTTGAGAGTTTCAAATTTTAGAAAATTCACAATTTTGATTAAATTCTTAATTTTGTATAAGTTTTATTTTGGTTCAATTTAACCTTAATCCTAAAAAAAAATTAATAAATAAAATAATGGAAAAATATATAATTGGACAAAAATTGTATGTGGTCTTTTTTATTAAAACAAAACATTTAGATGAAAGTGTTATTTTTAATTAATTATTTAATAACAAAAATAGTTATGCCATCGATATTCTCACCTCAACTTCCAAGATTATTGTTTTGTTGGCTAGAAGTTCAACAACATGCCTCTGTGATTTTGCTGTTTTGCTACAAAAAAAGAGTATGGTGGAGAGGAGAGAGCACCACAGAAACAATGCGCTCCATTCCAGTTTCCTCAGAATCACACTCCGCTCTGTTGTTCCATCAGTCACCCCCTTCCTTCTCTTCTAACTCCATTCCCATAACCCACTCCTCTCTCTTCTTCTTCCACCCTTTTCATTTCAAGCCCCATCATTCATTAATCACTCCCAAAACTTTCTCCTCCAAGTCCACACCCTTATTCTGCTCTGCTTCAAAATCCGACCCCACCACTTTCGGTGATAAAGGGGTTGAAGAGTCAGAAGAGTCCTTAGTTGAGGACGGGGTATGCATAGAGGTGATGAAACTGGACAAGAACTCGCGCAGAATCGAATCGAGGATTTCCATTGAAGCTTCTCTTTCTTCCATTTGGAACATCTTGACTGATTATGAGAGGTTGGCTGATTTTATTCCTGGCCTCGCTGTCAGCCAGTTGCTCCAAAAGGGTGACAATTATGCCCGTCTTTTGCAGGTTCCTCTCTATCACGTGTTGTGCTCCAAAAGGGGTTCTTAAAAGTTTGATTTTTATGAAATTAGTTACATGATTTTGGCCATTTGTCTCACGGTGCATTGTGTTTATTAGATTAGTCTCAAATAAGGTCCTAGGGTTGTTCTGGGTTTGCTTTCATTTTTTGAATCAAAATCCTTTATTCTTTATTAATTTGGAGGCATAAAGTGAGAAAATTAGACTGATTAATTACTTATGTCCTTATTAAAGGTAATTTGTATTGGACAACCATCGTGAGGACTTGTGCAGTGAGGTATAAAAGTTTAATTGCTTTGTGTTAATGCTCTGTAGGGATCTTCCTTTATTTGATAGTTGGTTTTGCTTCTCTGTAATGGAACTCATGGTCCTTATTGCCTAGCCGCCAGGAAATTGCTATGTAAACAGAAGGGCTCTGATGAATGCTTACTGAGTAACAAATTGTTTGACCATTGTCCTGTACTTCATCCTTTCTTTTTGTTGTTCCATGAATTACTAGAAAACAAACATTCCATATTGGTGTAAAATCAAATGCAGGTTAGGCATCAATTGTGGGTTATGATGATGGCATGATGCATATGTATGAATGATGTATCTACACCTCCGAAGTACATGAATACTAATGTTAGTGAGTGATATGTATTACACACTTAGTTGGTGCATCATTTGATCTGGAAATGAGAGTGTGATCATATGCTTATATTACTATTTAGTTTTGGTTACAATGAATGATTGATGTCAATGTCAAACTTTTTTATATGATTACGTTGTGGTGAGGCCAATCGTGGTTTTAGCTAATTTACTTCCTCCGAGTTGCTAGCTTTCCAAATTAATGCCACTGTATGTTTTATTTTCCTGTTACCTGAACTAAAAATTGACCTCATTTGGAGTTTTTTCTTTGCTAATGCATTTGACTTGAATTATATTTATTGCTGTTACATTACGTGAACAGATTGGACAGCAGAACATAGCATTTGGGATAAAATTCAATGCTAAAGGAATTGTAGATTGTTATGAGAAAGAATTGGAGACTCTTCCTACTGGTATAAAGCGTGAAATCGAATTCAAGATGGTTGAAGGAGATTTTCAACTCTTTGAAGGAAAATGGTCTATTCTGCAGGTAGGAATTAATTTGTTCCCTTGATTTCAGAATTCTTCTGGATCCAGCATAAAATATCACACCAATTTGCATAACTTGGAATCATATTTTTCAAATCTCAAACTTTTCGTTTCTAAGATTGACTTTGTCAAATTCTTAATGCATCATTCATAGCTGGCCTTTGTTGGCGAACAACTAGAAAGTGGAGGTATTATCATATGTTGGAAACTTAAAAATTTAGTAACTATTTTAGTCTATTTACTAAGTTGTGACTATGATTTATTCGAAACTTGACAGCTAATAGTATTGACAAAAGGGATCTCCTTTGCTTTTAGCTTAACTTGCTTCAATATTTATTTTGAAAGATGTTGAAATTTTACACTACTTTGAAACCACATGTTAAGGGGTTGATTGACATACTAATGCAACAGCAAACAATGTTATGGTTTTGCAGCATTTCAACAGCGAAAATTGTGAGCAGTCTCAAGTCCGAGAAGTTAGTACAACTCTCTCATACGTTGTTGATGTCAAGCCGAAGCTGTGGTTGCCTATTAGTCTCATAGAGGGTAGACTTTGCAATGAGATCAAAATGAACCTTGTATCAGTGAGGAACGAAGCTCAAAAACAATGAGTTATGTAATTAATGATTCATTGTGGATCATGCAAAAAATAAACACAAGTATAGTCCTGGTTAAAATTGATTGAAATCTATAGAGTAATGAAATTCATTAAATAAGTAAGACTTACAAAAACTGGCATGCATTTAAATCAAAGCCAACATTGAAAAGGGGTAGTTACATTTCATGTTCAACAAGAAACTCTTACCAGAATGGGCTTCTCGAACCTCTGATGCCTGATGGAAACTGTCCACTGACATTGATGCCGAAATTGAGAACTTCAAGTTCACACTTGCATTCTTGATAATGAAGAGAATCAACTTCACCTACTAACTCCCCAACACCACTTCTTCCTGCTGTCACAATGACAGTTTTAAATAGTACAGTGAAAGAAATGGCTTATGATAACGAAGTGGATAGATCATAGATATAATTTGTTGAATACTGTATTTATAAATTCATTTTTAGGCACAACAAAAATGCTATTCAATTAGTATAGTTCAACTGTGTTCCATGAAAGTTTAGGCTTTTGTTTCTTGTATGGCTATGACGAAAATAAACTATGTAAACTGTGGGGTATTTCATAAAGAATGAGAAATTACTTTGACCTTAATAAAAGGTTCATATCCATGCTAGAATGAGAAATTCGACCACTATAAAAGAGACGGGAATTATATGCATCGTTGCTTTTAAAATTATAGTGAAAAATTCACTCATGATAATATAGAATAAATTAATATATTAGGAAATATTTAAACTATTTGAGCTTAACATATAAAAAAAACTTAATATCCTTTGTGTACCAAACAATACATTCTATTTTTATGTACAAGGATATAAGAAAAAAATGTGTTTTTAGTTAAATTTGATTTTATAATTCCTATGCTTTTAAATAACTTAGTCCTTAAATTATTATAAACATGTAAAATTAGTTTTTTTTTAATATTCAAACTTAATATTTATATAATTTTTACTATTACAAGTTAGAAAAAAAAATTAAGCTCCCATATTTTTTTAAGATGAAAACTAAATTTATCAATTTAAAAATTTCAGTGACTGGATACTGGCAATACTTTTTTTTTCAAAGATATATTTGATCTTAAAATATATTATAAGCCATCACTCTCCTTTTAACTTTATATGCACTTGTCTTAAAAATACATGTGCAGGACCAAAAGCAAAACAGTGAAAGTGTGAAAGTGAAACTGAGAAAGCAACTATTGAACTGAAGCTCTGTGTGTCGCATGTAAAGGCCAATCCATTCCCAAAGGTAGTTCAGATTTGGTATTTGATGTTCAAAACTCAATTTCTCTTAATACTGACTCATAAATATAATTCTATAATAATTAATTATTATAGTATTGTAGATAAAAATGATTGATAAGTTAACTAAACCAAAAACAACATAATAGAAAATAATCAAATCACAAACATGACTGATAATATTAACTTACATTACTAATTTGATACTTTAATCGTGATTGAACTAAATAACATAATGAGAAATAGCCAAACCAGAAACATGAGTGGGTTACTGTTTGAACTGAATTTGGTTGGAGAAAAAGGAAAAGTTGAAAAAATAATAAGGTCTTGAGTTAATCACAATGCATGGCAACTCTGGATCTGTCTCAATTCTTCACCAAACTCTTCTTCATTAGATAGCCAATCTTCGAATTTCCCCTGCAAGCAACATACCAATTAATCTGTACGTTGATTTCTATTCCCATAAATAATCGTCTTTTCTCCCAAAGACTATAGTTAAAGGTTTATCGAATTCCTGATAAGTATTTTTTACCAATTGCTTTGAATTTAAGTTGAAGGACTTCATTAATGCTTTACCATCACATCACTACTTCCATCTACCCTGTCCATAACATTTCCCTGTTTACCAATGATGCATATATATAAAGAGAGCAACTTGCCACATTTCTCACCATCCAATACAAACATTTATCTCTAGCTACATAATAAATTTTCCTGTTTCCACTCATCGATCTGGCCCCTTACTCTTGCAGTTGATATAATTATTATCATCCAAAATATGTCACCAACGAACACATTTGCAATTTTTGTCATCTTTTGCTGTGTCATCTCCTCTGCCTTTGCTTCCGACCCTGACACACTCCAAGACCTTTGTGTGGCACTTCCCTCTTCAGGTAATCTGCATTACCATTCAAAGTTTCTTTTCTTTCTCTACTCTCATGCAATTCAAATAAATGTGCCAAAGTAGTGTTTAGGAGAAGAGTACAATGATGTCAATTGTGTATAATGAATTATGCGCAGGTGTGAAGGTGAATGGATTTGAATGCAAGGCAGAGGCAAATGTAACAGAAGCTGATTTCTTCTTTGATGGCTTAGCCAAACCTGGAGTAATCAACAACACATTGGGATCTGTGGTTACCGCAGCCAATGTGGAAAAAATTCCAGGCCTTAACACATTGGGGGTGTCTTTCTCAAGGATAGACTACAAAGCTGGGGGACTTAACCCGCCTCATACACACCCTCGTGCCACTGAGATTGTGTTTGTGTTGGATGGCCAATTAGATGTGGGATTTATCACCACAGCCAACAAACTCATCTCAAAGACCATTACGAATGGTGAAATCTTTGTGTTCCCTAAAGGTTTGGTGCACTATCAGAAGAACAGTGGGGATAAGCCTGCTTCAGTGCTTTCTGCCTTCAACAGCCAACTCCCTGGAACCTTCTCTGTAGCTGCAGCTCTTTTCAGCTCAACACCAACTGTGCCAGATAATGTTCTTGCTCAGGCTTTCCAGATTGATACGAAACAGGTTGACAACATCAAGGCCAAGCTTGCTCCTAAGAAGAGTTAATTTAAGTTGAGCTTAATGATATTCAAGAGAGAAGGCCATGAATGATTCATTGTATCTGTCATGGTGTTGCACTTTCCTTCTTGTTATTTTTCTTTGATGTGGCATTGAGTCTAAAAATATATTTGTATTGCGAAATATGTAGTAGAAGGTACCACCTTTTGTGTGCTTATGCTCATTTCTTGGTTTTGTGGTTCATTATTTTGTAAACACTGATCAATAAAGGTTGGACCTTTAAACCCCACTTTCTCTTTCATGTTGGTTTGTGGTTAAATCAGTTTGGTACGACGTCAGACATCTTATAATTGGAGGCACTCAAATTCCATTTTAACTTTGGTCCTCTCGAGTCAAATTTCTCTTTCCGTCCTACAAAATCTGAACCATTAATTACTAACTGTAGTAGTAGTTGTTAACGAGAGAATGTGATCGATGACTTATGCTGGAGTGAAAATCCTTCTGCACAAGGGATTTCATGATTCAATGCCCCATAAATTAAAAAAATAAATGAGGTGATGGACAAGTCAAATGGGTTTTGGTAGAAAAACGTATTCATGCAGAATAAATATCCATCTGCAGTTATATAAAAGAAAGCCAAAAATTCTCCCTGGACACATCAAGATAGCTAAACCGGTTAAGATGTAAATTATGAATTATAAGTATACACAAGTTTCATTTTTGCAGTGTGTTCACTTCCACTCCTTGCTCATTCCCGCAGGATATAAATGCATGCATGCATGCAAGCAATTAAGTTTGATTGGATCACTCAACTGAAATTGACTCAGATTATAAGCATATATGTTTTTGTTTAAATTGGTTGATTTAGCGGTTATTTCGAAATTAAGAAGTACTAATTTATTTGACAACATCTGCATATATATGCTAAGAACTTGCATTTCTGTGTAGTATGGTTTTCAGTTATCATAGTTTCCAATACACGTTCAACTGAATCCAAGTGTCAAGTGTCATTGGATTCAACCTCTGTTCCAAGCTTTCAAATGGAAAACCAAACACAGCATTACTTTGTTTGCCTTCTTATTTGTCTCAAGCAGAGAAAAATTACTGGTAGTAAGTAGTTCGGGACTATCATAGTGTTTATTGTCTCAACCAATATTAATATGTATAAAACTGACAATACTTCATTTTATGTTATATATAGAGTAATTTTTTTTATACAATATGGAAGTAAAAATTTAAAATATAAAGAAACTACGACTTTAACATGATATTACGGTATCTGTGCATCGTATATGTGAAGAGATTATGATGGAAAAGTGGATGAAGAAGCTAACAGTACTGGCATCAACCTCTGCATTGTAGCAGTAGGTGGGTGGTTGGTTTAGTAGTGTTGGTGTAGAATGTTGAACGGTAAAAACGTTACGTTTAAACTTTGGCATCTTATTCTCATATGATGCGTTACTGCTAAGAACATGGAACATTCCAATTTCCAGACAACTACATACAATATAGCAGCATATACATACACAAACGAAAACCAACTACAATAATCACATCAAACTTAAGTTTTTTCTTTTAAAGATCATACATAATACTGGGATAGAATGAGATAAGTTTCTTCTTTTATACTAAATAAAACATTAATATAGTATATATGTAATATTATATGTATAACTATCTAAATTTTTTTACTTATTTATTTTATATGCATGTCTTGAAAATATATTTTCAAGTTAAAATATGTTCATTTTCATTATCTACCTAATTTTGAAAAATCGTTTTTCATACGGGCCTAACAGTGAAAGCAATGGTGGAACTGAACCAGTGCGTGTCGCCCTTCTGAAGGCTCTATGTCCCCCCATCCATTTCCCAAGGTTGTTCAGATTTGGCAATTGAGTCAAAGTTAATCTCTCTTTAATAATGCTTCAATAGATAATATAATATAATATAATTACATTAATTTAAAACATATTTGATAATTTAATTGCAAACCAGCCAAAAAAAAAACTGAACTTTGGAGTTGTTCACAGTGCGTAGGTAAAGTCTAGATCTGACTAAAATCTTGCAGCTCTCACCAAACTCCTCTTCATTAGATAGTCAATGTCTACATAATATTCCCTACAAGCAACGATCTAATTTATACGTTGATTTCTATTGCATGAATAATTTTCTTTTCTAGTAAAGACATGAAAAGTTTATAGGATTCCTGTCACAGTTGCTTGGAATTTAAGTCTAGGGACCACACAAATGCTTTACCATCACATCTCTTCCATTCCATCTACTCTGTCTATAACCACTGCCTGTTTACAAAATAATGCATATATAAAGATACCAACTTCCCACATTTCTAACCATCCAACACACACATTTCACTCTTATCTCTAATCATATAAAATAACTATTTCTGTTTCCACTCACTGATCTAAGCTCTACACTTGCAAATTATTCAATCATCATTCCAAGTCCAAACCATGACAGCAACAAACACTTATGCAATATTGGTCATCTTCTGCTGTGCCATCTCCTTTACCTTTGCTTCTGACCCTGACACACTTCAAGACCTTTGTGTTGCACTTCCCTCTTCAGGTAATAATATGCATATGTAATATTACATTTTAATTTCTCTCTCTACTCTTAGTTCAAATAAATGTGACAATATTGTGTATAGGAAAAAAGTACAGTAATCCATGGAGTTATATGCAGGTGTGAAGGTGAATGGATTTGCCTGCAAGGCAGAAACAAATGTGACAGAAGCTGATTTCTTCTTTGCTGGTTTATCCAAACCTGGAGTTATCAACAACACATTGGGATCTGTGGTTACTGCAGCCAATGTGGAAAAAATCCCAGGACTTAACACATTGGGAGTGTCTTTCTCTAGAATAGACTATAAAGCTGGGGGACTTAACCCACCTCACACACACCCTCGTGCCACTGAGATTGTGTTTGTGTTGGACGGTCAATTAGACGTGGGATTTATCACCACAGCCAACAAACTCATCTCAAAGTCCATTAAGAAGGGTGAAATCTTTGTGTTCCCAAAAGGTTTGGTGCACTATCAGAAGAACAGTGGAGATAAGCCTGCTTCTGTGCTTTCTGCTTTCAACAGCCAACTTCCTGGAACCTTTTCTGTATCTGCAGCTCTTTTCAGCTCAACACCAACTGTGCCTGATAATGTTCTTGCTCAAGCTTTCCAGATTGATACTAAACAGGTTGATGACATCAAGGCCAAGCTTGCTCCAAAGAAAAGTTAAGTTTTTATTTTTTTTCTTTCTTTCTTTGAAGTTATGATATTCCAGAAAAAGGAAGATTCAGTCTTATAAGCATACTTTCCCTGTAATTCTTTAAGGGTTATGGTTCATTTGTTTCTCTTATTACTGTTCATATGGCATCGAGAATAATGATATAACAATGTGTCGTGGATTATAGTATATACTTAAATGGATACAAATTCTACCCAATTTTTTTCAATCATCCATTTAATAATTTATTTTTAAATTTTTATATTATTTTTTTTATTCCATTAACTATCCCTCAATAAAACAATAATATTTTAAAATTGTCTACGGATGTTAAAAAAAAAAAAGATTTCAAAAAATCTTTTTCCCAAATTGTATGAATATTATATGGATATATTCATTTGAATAGTTTTTTGGTTTGTTGACTAAAATTAATTATTTCACTACCCAAATTAATGAAAAAAAGAAGAAGTTTGATTAAAAAAGAAAGAAAATAAAAAGTTATTTGATGTGTTTTAGTTGTATATCTCTTAAAAGTTATGTTCTTGTTGTTCTTTTTAACTTCTTTATTTGAGTTAATGTTGTATGAAAAATGTTCCGTGAAATTTTTAGCATTATATTTATTTATATAAAAATTATATTAAAAAAAAAACTCAACTGGATTTGTATCAAAAGGAACATTGTTTTTTAATTTTTTTTTTCTCTATTACATCCATTTCCATTTCATTTCACCAAGCATAAAACTCACATCAAACTATAAACATTTAAAATCATCTAAAAGCATAAATTTAGTTTTACATTGATAATACACTATTCATTAAGTTCAATTAATATATATTGATAATTTAATTCTCGAATTTAATCTACTAGGTATAAATCTAAATATTTTCCATGAATGAAAGTTACTTTGGGAGTTTTTATTGAATGTAACCATAATTATGAATTATTTTCCAATTCCTCAAATTAGTACATTTTCAAGAGTTAAAATACAGAACAACGTATTTTACCTAAACATTTAGTCTTTTTTTTTTACATTTTTAATTGTAATTTCAAAATTACTTTGATTTTACATACAGCTTAAAAAATATATTTCTTATAATCATCTCATGTCTTTATATTTTTATTTTATTAATATATTTAATTTTCTTACTTGTTTATCTCTTTTAATTATCCCCTATATCTTTAAAGCTTTTGGTAAAAGAGTTATAAATACAAATCTCCATCTTTGAATATATAGTTTTTCTTTGATTTTTGTTCGGATCAAGCACACAATTAGAGAAAAATTACCTGCACGCTGTTCGAATTATTTACGCAAATAGCATGATTTTATTAGATGGTTGGAATTGAATTCCAAAATTTTTAAAATATAATAATATTTATTAAATATAAAAATTAAAAAATATATATATATAAAATAAATATATAAATATTATATATTTTTTTAAAATTTTATTTACATAATTATATGAAATAAATATAAATATATTTCTGTATATAACATAAAAATATATTTATATAATTATATTATTAATATATTTTTATAAATATAGTAAATACAAATATATTTAATATATATATAATATTTAAATATATACTTATATTTTTATAAATTTAATAAATATATATTTATATCTTTCTATTTAACATTTTTACATAAATTAATTATATATATTATTTAAATATATTTTTAATATAAAATAATTGTAGTAAGTAAAAATAATTTTTTTCATAGAAATATATAAATATTTTTATTATACTTTAATATATTTATATATATATATATATATATATATATAAATATGATAAATACATATTTATATTTTGTTATATACTTGATTAAATAGAATATATATATATATATATATATATATATATAATAACTTTATTAAATATAATATATAATAAATATAAATATATACTTTTATATATAATAAAAATATATTGTATAATTATATGTTTAATATATTTATATATACTTATATATATATATATGATAATATAATATTTATATAATATTTAAGTATTTATTTAATAAAAAATATTTTTAGTAAATAAATATAATATTTATATATATATATATAGTTTAAATATTTATTTATATAATTATATGTTTAATGTATTTTATAGATATATTTAATATATATATATATATATATATATATAATATTTAAATTTTATTTAATATATATTAGTTGAAGAAAAACATTGATAAAAATGATAATTTATAGGAATAATAAATAAAAAATAAATTTATATAAGATATTATATGAATAATAATTTATTTAATAATGATTTTGATGTAAAAAATTAGAAAAATACAAATAAATTATAAGATTATAGATTTAATATTTAAATAAATTTAATAAATATGAATTTATATGACTCGAAATGGATATCGGTGAAGAAGGTCACCCAAAGAAATATTGCTCTTGTCACACTCTAGGTCACGGAAGAAATCATTATGCACGCAGTGACGGATCTTCTTGGGAGTTGAGGGGGTCATGACCCTCCCCAAAGTTTTGTAACTCCCATGTAATTTATGATTTTGGCCCCTAAACTTAATGAACATTTAATATATTTACTTATATATTTACAATTTTATCCTCTCAACCCCTTCTCGGCTTTGTAACTCTCATATAATTTATGATTTTGTCCCCCTCAAACTTAATGATCATTTAATATATTTAAATATATATCGACGAGTTTTATCATTTCATCCTTTCATCTTCTTTCTTTTTTTTATATTTATTTATTATTTATTAATAATATATTATTTAACCCCTTCAAAATCAATAGTCAAAATTCGTAGGGGATTAACTTCTCTTAGATAAATCAGTTATAGTTTTATAATATGACATCATAATCCATAAATAAATCATTATACTTATGTAAAAATGTTATATAGAAAAATATAAATATATATTTATTAAATTTTATTATATTTATAAAATATAAATATATATTTAATATATATATATATATATATTAAATATATTTATATTTACTATATTTATAAAAATATATTAATAATATAATTATATAAATATTTTTTTATGTTATATAAAAAAATATATTTATATTTATTTCATATAATTATATAAATAAATTTTAAAAAATATATATAATATTTACATATTTATTTTATATAAATATATATATATATATATATATTTATATTTAATAAATATTATTATATTTTAAAATTTTTATTAATTTTTAAGGTTCGAATTCGGATTCTGCGAGCCCAATAAAACCGTGCTATTTAGGTAAATTATTCAAACAGTGTGCAAGTAATTTTCCTCAAATTGTGTGCTTGATCCAAAAAAAAATCTTTTTCTTTACATCAAAAAGGTTTTAAAGATTTATGTACACTTTCATGGAGTAATTATTTTCTAAAATTATTCTTTTATTTAGATTTGAAGGTGGAGTTCAGGATTGAAAATAAGTAGATTTAATGAGAATAGGATATAAAAATGAGATTGTTTTTATTAAAGAAACACTACTGCAGAAAAGGCTTTTTACATCGGTTAAAATGGGCTTTCGACGTCGGTTAAAGCGGTGACATAGATACGGGGGTCATAGAAAGTAAGGTTTTCTACGTCGGTTCCTAATAACCGACGTAGAAAGTAAGACTTTCTACGTCGGTTAATAGGAACCGACGTAGAAAGCCCTACTTTCTTTGAGCTATTATGATCGGTCAAACTGGTTATGATCGGTCATAGAGCTATTCTGATCGATCATAACTGGTTCTCGATCGGTCACAAAAGACTTTCTACGTCGGTTAGTCAGGGAACCGACGTAGAAAGTCTTATTTTGTATGAGCTATTCTGATCGGTCATAACTCGGTTCGATCGGTCATGAAACTAATCTGATCGATCATAGCTGATTTCGACTGTCAGTAATACTTTCTATGTCGGTTAACACTTATAACCGACATAGAAAGTCTTACTTTCTATGTCGGTTAAAATTATAACCGATATAGAAAGTACTTTCTACGTCGGGTAATGACATAATCGACGTAGAAAGTGTTATTTTTTTAAAATACCCGCATTTTATTTACGAGATGCTACCTTTCTTCGAGTAGACACTCGCCTATTCATCACAGTTCCAGACAAATAACCACAGATCCAGTACAGACGGATATGCACAGTTCATATATAAATTTGCTACGGATATATATCCAAGTACAGACAGATTCGATTGCAGACAGATATGTACATATGAAACACATTGAAATGAATATATGTACGGACAGATCCAGCTTCTAGACAGTTCATTTACTTAAACGAATGTAAATTTCCTAACTTAAATCAATTCTATCTAAATTGTTACAAGTTAAATTTCCTATGAAGATTGAATGCTTAAATTTCCTATTAAGTTGGAGCATTCTCCCAAAATCCTTCCATATGGTCATAACGGATGGCATGCACATCATCTATTTCTACATTAACACTCAAGTTTGGCATATTTGAAGAGAAACATGGTGTCTCGGGTATATCAAGTACTAATTCATCATTCTCATCGAAGTATACATGGGTTTTCCTTGTAGAACCACCGACCATCCTTTGTTAGCGGGATCGGTGACATAAAACACTTGTTTTGCCCGAGATGCCATGATAAATGGTTCTTCGGTATAACGAGTATTTTCAAGGTTAACCAAGGTAAATCCAAGATCATCGGTGAAGATGCCAGTATTAAAATCAACCCACTTGCATTTAAAAATAGGTACTCGAATATCGTGTAATCTATTACCCAAATCTCTTCAATTACACCAAAGTAGCCCATTGACGCCCTTATCGGATATTTATCCTTTGAACTCGAGAAATGCATTGATTCAGCCACCACCATGACTCCACTATTTTGCATTGTGCTTATTTCATCTTCTCCCTTTGTATAAAATGAATAGTTATTTATATCATACCCACCCCAACATATCACATCAAAGTTTGGCTCACATGCTAGCCACTTTAGTGTATCGAAGTCTGTATTGTCACCTTCAACTTGTTTTTTAAACC